TGGGAAAATTGCACTAAGTGAGAACTGCATAACACCCATCCCCATGGTAGACCATGAAACAAATAGGAAGGCCAAAAAGAAACGTTCACGACGTCGCAAGACGACAAGAACGCTCCCCAAGAAGGCAGACGACTGCAAGGTCTGCGCTTCTGTTGTCGAACAAGCAGACTCTGCTTTCGAATGTAACTTTTGCAAGCGATGGGTGCATTGCAGATGCGACAGTGGGGTACCAAAAGCATATTATGACTTTATGCGTAAAAACCCATGCCAATGGTTCTGGTACATATGCCCGAGTTGCCGTCCTGATGTAGCCTCGCGTAGTCCTTTGAAAACTAAAGATGGCACAGAAGTAGCGGGAAAAATGTGAAATGTCCGACCCCCACCAATCCGGAAGTTAGTACAAACGCGCGTAAACCGGGGATACCAAAATCCTCACCGGTTAAACTTGTAACTCTTGACATAACCGCTCCAGACACAGAGGCTGGAGAACCACGGGTTTCCGTCGTTGGAAAAAGACCCCAATCGTCTGCCAGTAATACTGGCCATAGCACTGAGACACAAAAAATACCCAGTCGCACCAGATGAACCAAAACGGTCTTAAAGGTGATCACAAACGTGCGAGGACCGAGCCCAAGCCCACGGTTAGTAGATCAAATTGTGTAATCCTCTTTAATGTACCAGACTGTAGCAGTAGTCTGCTGAAAGATAGGGCCCTATTTGATCAGGAACAGTGGTCCATCTTGTGTAGCACACTGGGTTTGGACATCCAACCAGTAAATCTATGCAGATTGTATAGGGGCACTGCTGCACCTGAAGGCAAACCATCCCCACTGAGGGTAACATTGGGCTCTACCGAGGATGTTGAAAAAGTGTTACTGGCTTCTCAAGTCCTTTCTATAGGGAGGGCCTGTAACATACGTGTTAAGCCAGACAGGCCGTGGAAGGAAAGACAAATGGCGAGGGAGTCGCCAGAGCTCATTCCTTCTGCCTCCATGGTTGTGCATGGCATTCCCGAACTGGTAACTGGGAACGCCTGCGAAAAGCATTGTCATGATGTACAACAATGGAGATGGTTGGCATCCCAGATGGCCCTGGGAGTTCAGGGGCTGTCTCTATTTATAGACTGCCTCGACCCACTCATCTTATGTCAATTAACTCGCCACGTCTGTTAGCTGTCAAGTTCAGCTCCCAAGACCAGTTGACTACCGCTCTCCATAGATGGTACGAGACCAAGGACAAGGTCAGCAAACACATTCGCTGCTGCGAGAGCCGGCCTCGCACTCAAAGGAGAGAACAAAGCGTAGTAAAAAAAATCCTCAACCCCTAGTCACACTACAGCGGTGCAGCACGGACGATGATAGCCAGTGTCATCCGAGTGCTCCGACTGAACAAAAAACGCCAACAGGCCGGTTCCTGGGGAATCGGCCAACTAGTTCGTAGGATAACTCCTCAACCGATAGCCAATATCAAGTCAACTACCCCCCAATACGGGGAAGTGGTGAGACTGACTACCAGTTGCCTGTATAGTAATGTGAGAGGGCTAAGAGGCAAAATAGCTGAACTTAGACACCTACAATCACAACTGAACTCCAAAATCATAATACTGACGGAAACCTGGCTAACCCCTACGGTGGCAGACAGCGAAGTCAGTATAAATGATATGGTCCTAGTCAGGCGAGATAGGGACCTGAAAGAAGGAGGTGGAGTCGCCATATACGTCGACAAACAGCTCAGATGTGTTCACGCGATGGACCCTCCCCTCACAGAGCTCCCTGACTCCATATGGTGCCACTTCACCGTTGGGTACTGCAAATATCTAGTGGGCAGCATTTATCGATCACCTTCATGTGGAGCAGACCACAACCAGGTACTGCTAAATACAATCTCAGCAACTCAAGACATGGGTTATGATCAAATTGTCATAGCTGGTGACTTCAATGCCCCATCTCTTAACTTGGTGTCGGGAAAAGCCCATGATAGATTTGATCGAAATCTGCTGCATACCATCAGGAAGGCTGGATTCACTGAAAATGTCAAGATGGATACTAGATGGGGCCCTGATGGGAAGTCTTCTAGACTGGATTACGTGCTCACTAGTGACCAGCTACTAGTGGAAAACGTTCAGATCACGACTCCCATAGGTAGTAGTGACCACGCGGTCATAGTATTCGACATAGTCCTCCGCGAGCGCTTACAGTGGGACAATACACAGCCCTATCTGTGTTATAACAAAGCCAACTACACCAAAATGCGAAGACTTCTGTCTGAAGCAAACTGGCCTAAAAAATGGACAGAGCTAACAGTAGAAGAACACTGGAGAGTGGTAAAGGAGATCATTCACCAGGCGGTCTCAGACACTGTTCCTTTAGTCACACCAAAAGCTAGGAAGCAACGATCATGGCTGAAAAGGGGACACAACGCCTTCTGCAGGCAAAGCGAAAAGCCTGGTTCGCGTGGCGACGATCGAAGAGTCAACCCGAATATGAAGTGTACCTTGAACTCAGGAATCGATGTAACATACGAGTCCGGAGCGATAGAAGGACATTTCAGGGAGACCTCGCCAATAAGCTTCTCGTGAACCCCAAAAGCCTATACAGGTTTATGTCCGAAAGAAAACCGACCAACCAGGGAGCATGCAATCTAGTGGGTTCTGATGGGAAATCTCTTACTAGTCTTGAAATGGCAGAGACATTCAGCCTAGCCTTTCACAGGCAACTAAACAGTAACGAGGATATTACCCCTACAGAACATCCAGATTACATCGCAAAACCAACACGCGAAAACCTGCTGGGTACATTTCAAATTACCCCGGCTATGGTACTTGCAAAATTGGGAAGGTTGGCTTCGGGAAAGTCTTCAGGTTGTGATGACATCAGACCATCTGTCCTGAAGCAGTGTTCAGAAAGTCTCTGCCAACCCCTAAGTGATCTGTTCCAACACTCCCTTGATGTAGGGAAACTTCCATGTGAATGGAAACGAGCAATCCTATCCCCTATCTTCAAGGGTGGTGACCGGCAGAATGTGACCAGTTACAGACCAGTTGCTCTACTTCCAGTGATATCGAAGATATTGGAAAGTCTCATTGACGACCACATGAGAAAATACTTCGATGGGACTAACCTTCTTCACGAAGCACAGCACGGTTTCAGGAGGGGAAGATCCTGCGTGACGAATCTTCTACTAGCTTGGAACGATTGGACACTATCCTGGGACAAAAAGGTACCAGCCCACGTGATCTTTCTCGACTTTGCGAAAGCATTCGACACAGTTCACCATGGTCTGCTCCTTCACAAAATAAGCAAGGCGGGAGTTTCTGGAGCACTTCTCGCATGGCTGAAAGATTACTTAGGCGAGAGAGAATTCTGCACCAAAGTCAACCGCATCCGATCATCCTGGCACACCTCGGCATCAGGGGTTCCTCAGGGTTCTATCCTAGGGCCGTTGATGTTTTTGATTTTTATCAACGACCTGCCCCCCAACTAAACTGCTCTGCGCTTCTTTACGCTGACGACGTAAAGATTTGGAGAGCAATAAACTCATCGGAAGACTCAGATAGATTGCAGGCTGACCTGCAAACTCTGGGAAACTGGGCTGCGGCTAACGGAATGCCTTTCAACCTAAAGAAGTGCAAAGTAGTGCAACTTCATTCCGGCAGGTCACAGAGTGTAAATTACACCCTTGGTGGCCAGAACTTGAGTTGTGTTCCATCAGAGTGCGATCTAGGTCTTATTCTAACAGAAAAGCTAGACACCAGTGGAAATTACTCGAGGGACGTCGCCAAAGCCTACGCAACATTACACTTTATGCATGGGCAGCTGGGAGCTCTCACTCCCGAACTGTTCTTAAGGTTATATAAGGCATATGTGAGGCCACACCTTGAGGTGCATAATATCATTGCACCTCCGCTACTCAAAAGGGATGCTAACATTCTAGAAAGTGTCCAGAGACGAGCGACAAAATGGGTGATCGGCCTCCGCAACAAATCATATGAGGAAAGACTAAAGAAATTAGGTCTTTTCACACTTAGTTACCGTAGGCACAGGGGAGACCTCATCACCGTCTACAAGATCCTAAATGACCAGGCCCACCCAAATAAAAGCATCCTGCCATTAAGTGATTATAGGCTTCCACGAGGTAACCCGCTAAGGATAGCACACCAGAGACCAAAGACTCGAGTGCGATCACATTTCTTTTCGCTTCGTGTTTGCCGTCTCTGGAACGCTTTACCGGCGGCCGTGACTACAGCGCCATCTCTGGAGATTTTTAAGCGGAAGCTAGACAATCATGCAGAAATGCAAGGTTTGTGTCTCAATGGCTTATCCTCATAAAACTTAAAACCACACTGTCAATGGATAAGCGTACAAACTAAATCCCCACGACCTATTCTGCCTTCTCTCACTCTATCTTTTCCTTAGGTCACCTTTATTATTCCACTTATCTCAACCTATATTATCTACACTACAACCTATTATTATTATTACTATTCTGCTTTTATGACTACACCGAATGACCAACGGGAGTTAGGTCAAACTCCATTCACGGCAGCAATACAGTCCTAACATACTGCATACTACAAACCACATCTCGACCAATCCCCGCACCACTCCTCTTGGAGTCTACCAGAGCTAAAGCAGTCGAGTGGCGGGACTTACTACGCAGAAGCTCACCGAAGATCTGGAACCTCTACCTCACAATCAAGAAGCGAGCTCAAAGAAATCACTGGTTTATACTAGCTCGTAATCAGGATATTGGAAGTTGTCCTTGTCAAGGTCTTTGTCCGTTCACTAGGTAGTTTCGGTTTGGGCTGCTATTCTTTAGAGTTGCCAATGAACTAACAGTTAGCAAAAGCATTGAAGATTAACATGGATGAGAATGACTTTTAAATGCGTTTGTGAGCAAGCTGTCTCCAGACTTACGATTTATTTCGGTTCCATTACTACTGGGGTTTTTTTATTAGTTAGACTGATGAATATTATTTAGCGTTTTGTTCAAAGGTCTAGGTCAATGTGAAGGTCGTACTGGCAACATGTGTTGAGATAAGGTAATATAAGTTTGATGGTTGGCGATGTGTTATCTCGTAGACTAGTTATTCTTTTTATTCATTAGCTTGTTGTTAGGGCTAAGTTAAACGATCACAGAGAAAGTTAAGGGCTTTCAAAAATTTTTTTGACCTTCAGAAGCCGACCAGATACAGGAAATTTTATGAAATGTCATCCCATGCCTCTCATTTTCTACAAGGATAGGGTAGATACACTATTAGGCGACAGTAAAGTATAGACGCCAAAATCAAATGACCCTGAATAAACTAGTACGGCAAGGCATTACACATGGATTGGTATTCATAATCTTCTTTTCAAGTTTCACTTAGATGTTTTAGGGCCAAAAATACATCGACTAGTCCTTCAAGGCCCTACCATTCATTCAATCGAGTGCGAGGGTTATGCGCAACTATCATCATTAGACTATAGTCATCATAAATTCAATCATACTTCTGAATTAATAGACCCCATACAAATTCTACTGAAAGATTCTGGATGCAATTAAAAAAGACGTATTATAATAGTAAATGGTTCCGGATGTGATATAATATGATATACAACCACTTTGATTGTTTGTATCCATGGAGATGGCTGTCATCTCAGATGTGTGTGACACACTGGCTTCCTATGGATACATGTGCAGTATCCTGTTCACTTGGTTTTGCCTGTGCAGTCTTAGTGCTGGACTGTGTCAACTTGAGCATACTCTCAGACCAGAGGATATGTACACGGGTCTTCCGAACCGGTATGCAAGGTGGAGTTGATATCCCTGGGTTACTTCCTCCTGTGGCTGAAGCCCTAGTCACTACAGAATATAGTGGTGTCTTGGTGCTCTTATTAGGGCCAGTTTCGACAGCCACATTACCAATCATTATAAATTATGCTGAAATATGAATAAAAGATAGCAACTGTATCTGTCCAATAAAACAAGGACAAAAAGGTTGATGAAGTATAAGATAAGAGAAATAAAGTCTTCGACTTTTTACCTAGAACTTCCAGGCTATTCTGCTTCAAAGCAATCATGTGGTAGACCAACAAGTCTTGTTTATCTGATCGAGTGAGGAAGATGCTGCTACAGTTGTGGCACCTGAAGCTTTGTCAAAAGTTCGGGACAACTGGACTTACCACACAGGGATTCAGTGTGGGAGTAATGGTTAGATTTAATTCACCGGCTAGGAAGATCAGGTTTCCCAAGCAGATAATTCACAAAATCGGTATTTCTCATTTAGAGAGGAAAAAGCACGTGTGGTACCAATCGTGAAGCAGTGATCATGCAATAAATCACAAGAGTAAAACAGTAAAGTTTATGAACATCGCGTTCACCTAAGTAAATGGCGTGTGATAAATGTGTTGGATGACCAGTTTCCTCTGAGACTAAGCCTAGCCTATGATTCGTTCATATACAATCCCATCGGGTCGAGGTTGGTGTAAAGTGAACGGCAGGGAATACTTCTGGTGGACATAGTGGTAGAAGGCTTTGTATGAGTTTTTTTACCGATTGGTTTACGCCCTCAACGTCCAACCGATAAGTCACAGATTCGAACGTCGCTTCATCTACCAAGGTTTGAGCTGGAAGGTGGTATTACTAACCCCCACACAATAGGTGTGGCTCATCATCAGTTGCATGGATTTGGAATTGGTTGTTTAGCAACATAGTTGGTAAAGTGTTATACTGGATATATAACTTGTTTTCTGTAGTCTAAGTAGGGTAATTCTCCGAAATCTAAACCGTCCTTTTTTGATAACATTAACTGTATACGTCACTGCTTATGTGTAGATCTCACCATAATTGTCTATTTCACATTCAAAGCGGAGTATGCATTAGGTGTACTCATTTATTGATAATTTAAGCTGTCTGATCAATCATTGGTCTGTGTCTATTGATATTTTGTGTGGATAGACCTTACTTAAATTTGTGGCGAACTTCTCTTCCTCACTACAAGAATTTGTAAGTCACAGTTCAAAGTGTCTATGAAATTATGACCTATGGAAGATGGGCAGTATCAGCTTCTTTTTCTTCATTAAATGACACAAGAATTTTACTATTGAGAGTTGACTACCTATTTTTACATTCATTTGTATGCATTACTTTGTTCATTGTATAACCGTTGCAACAGTTTAAGGATTTCATATGTGATAAACTAGTTATTAAGCAACTATAATGCTATGGATTGTTTGACACTTATAGATGTTCGTTGATAGTTGATCTAGGCTAATTCCCTAAGTTTTCAAACTTGCATCTATCAAACTTTAAACTGTCCTCCGAGCTTCATGTATAAATCCATAAATATTAATATATTATGCCTCATGAAAATAAACTATACTGTATAGATACATAAGTTAAGAAAATTAAGTTCTGATTTCTTAAGCATTGAACGACAAATATTGTTGTTGGTATTCCTTTCCTTTATTCGTTTGTATTCTGAGTAAAACATATGATTCTGGCTTTCACTTTCAGTAAAGGCGTTATTTTTACGGACTAAGGCCACTAGAATGTCATTGAACCTTACTACTTCTCCAGACTTACTAACGGCTAAGTAGGGAGTCCGTCGACTTGAAATAGAACCTCAGACTATGTGTCTGACTGATGAGCATTCTAATTATTGAACCACCAACGCGCTGATAAATAGTTTACACTGCTAAATGTGAAGTAATTTGATGCATACTGTAGTTTACTTACTTACTTTACTTCGGCTGTCTCCTACGGGAGGATGAGCCGGCTTCATGAACGTCTCGAATCATCGCTGCCCAGGCGCGGCAATTTGTAAGAGAGTTCATGAAGTTTCATGGGAATTTGGTACGAGTGATGTCCCCAGCATCGCTCGGCCTTTTGTTTGAGAGTGCAGCTCTAGCCTTTACACAACCAAGTGTGACCTACAAGGCAGTAGGAGTGAAGTAAGGAGTCCACTATCCATTGGCAGCCGATGACCGGAGTTCGGTTCATACGCCTTTTTGAATGGGGCCAGACATCCAACAAGCCATTTGTCCATACGTCTGCCGGTGAGCTCCAGTGAGCTTCATACGCCAATCGTTGGAGGTTTGGAATCAGGGTTTAGCCATCTCCCCTAGACTGTCATCCAATGGACAGTCAACCCGGTGGAGAGCGCCAGGCATCCGCTTTCGCCCTCTCACTTTGGTGAGAAACATCTCCGCCACGTGAAGGCAGTGAGTAGGACTTCCTCATGAGAGGCTATGTAAGACGCCCGGTCATATGGGAGCATTTCAAGAGGTGTGCGGAGGGGTGGCCAACCCGCAGCGCAAGGCACCCACCCCCGACCATCCTGAGGCTTTGGAGGCTAGTAGTTTATGCTTATGTAATCGCTTTTCACTGGTGACAAACTAATAAGGAGTAGATCAATTTCCTGGGCAAAGTTAAACTTTAAGCACCCGCAATTACCGATGGAAGAATGACCCTTTAAGCACCGACCATATGATAAAGACGACTTTTGTGTATAAAATACATGTATAAGAAAATAATGAATTAAAAAGCATGCAACTGTTACACAGGATATCTTTTCTTGACATGTGACCAAAATACCTTTCACTTTTGGACTGGAGTATCAACACAGTAATTTAACCACATTCCATGCATGTAATTATCTAGGTCTTCTAACCCTAACACGTTACCCTAATCTTTCCTTAACCTAATCCTATCGTGAAAATATCCCTAAACTAATCTTAACCTAACTCAAGCCAACCCCCTAACCTGTCTTCAGCCTAAACTTCAGTATAATCTTCCCCAAATCTAAGCTGAAACCCGCCCTATATCTCATTTGATAACATAACAAACACTTCATAACGCATGTTTTATTCATGATTACGGTTTTACTTACAACTTTTCACTAACTTTCTCACTGAACGTTTCAAGGCCATTGGTGCGGTCGCACTCCCTTGGTGGTTACTGGTGCTTAAAGTTTAACTTGGTCGTTTCCCATCTGCATACCATAAAATATTATCATTTTGTGCCAGTGCCACTGAAGCTATTCTACATTTATACTAATTCACTGTGTGATGAATCGTTTCCAATGTTATACCTATTGGAACAAGATTCGAAAAATAATGCATATTTTCCTCAAGTAAGAATACTTCTAGGCTGTACATTAATCAACAGTTATTTTTAGTGCCTTTTGCGACTTCTCTTCACTATCTCGTTTTTTCTTTCAGATCTGCGTGTCATGACTTTTCTTGGCGTTGTCAGTCCCTGTACACACACACGCACACACACACATTTTGAGTCTCTAAATTGAATTTGTCCTACAAAATCCAAGTCAATATGTTTCCATGTGCATCACACCTCGAAGATAGATCAAACAGCACTAGTGATCATTTTCGTGACGGTAATTGTTTGAAAATCACTTTTTTTTACTTCATTTTTAATTTAGACGAAAGTTGGCTAAAGAGTTCAACTTATACAGAAAAAAGTTCATCTAGTAATCGTGTTCATGGTAAGCGGTTCAAAATATATCTATAAAATTATTACTTGTAAATTTAGGAAATAGTAGTCATGAAGTACAAGATTTGAAGACAACCGGAAAACGTTCTCATTCCTATAAAAAAGATGATATAGTCAAGAAGAAACCAAAAGTCACGTCAACCGCTGTATTTCTAGAAGATATTCCTGGGCTAAATATTAACGACGCTTACAGAATTGATAAAACTTATAATAAAGAGATTTATAAACATGGATGTGTTTATGAAAAGCATGTATCACGATACAATCAGAAGAGTAAAACGAAAATATTAGGCTTTAAAGATTTGCGTTTAAGTGATCTTGTGGGCTCTGAAGTGAAATGTAAGCCTGGAGTTATTAAGAAGTCACGGTATTTCAGTAAGTCAAGTAAAGCAGTGATTCGAAATCCCCCTGTTACTGTAAAAGCCTGTGAATCAATTAATGATACTGCAACAGATTTAATTCCACTGGTTGATCGAATTACTATCCAGCATAAACCAGTTGAAGAGGTGAAAAATTGTGAAATGTTAAATCTTTGCGAAGAACTTAATCGTCGAGTTTACGATAGACCCGGTGATATAATTTCATGGTTGGATCTTATTGACTTACAGGATAAGGGGGCATCTTTTCTTCATATTGCCAGTAGCGATGCTGAACAGAAACAGACGTGTACCGATTTCAAGTATTCAAAGAGTGACAGACTGATTATACTTAAGAAGCAGTTGTCAATGGCTGATCGAGCGCTTACAGCTAATCCGGTAATTTAATCTTGAAGCTGTTTATAATGCGGCTAAATGAATTGGTGGCTGAACTTGAAGCACACGGGGCGTTGGAATCTACATCCAATAAGGATATTTTACCGGCTGATCAAATTAATCGGGATTGGGCTCAGTGTGTATTCACTTATCCTCAACTTGTTCCAATGTGGCGTGGATATGTTGCACATCTTATGGGTCGACATTCATCACTAATCACTGTAAATCAAGGTATTGGAAATGGAATATTTTCACGTATCGATAGTATATACAAAAGAGGTCTGTCAACACTTTCCGGCATAATATCCGGAAGAATTTTATCGCATCGACCTCAACCAGATACTGTGGAGCGAACAATCGGTAATCCTTGTGTTTTGTGATACCTGCTTGTATTTTAATTCTTTTTTTTAATGAATTATTTTTTGACAAGATTGACGATTTCTTGACTGTTTCTTGATTATTAATTTGGTTTGTGTTTACGCTTTTATTCAGCTAATTGAGAAAATTTTAAAAGCTTAACTTCCGTTTTCTGACACTCTACTGTATCATTATCATTATTATAAAGACGTTATGCAGTGAATTTAATTACGACGTACAGCTGACTAATTAAAGTTTGTTTTCAATACGAGTTGACATCAGCTAACGTATACCTAAAAGTGGGAGAGTATGACACTGTTATTCACTCTCAGTTTTCAACTTTTGTATACACCTTCTTTCATGGGTAGGCATCCTTCCTGTTTGTGCTAAATATGAATATAAGGCAAGTTATTATTATTACTATTATTGCTCCCTTGGGTTCCTAGTGGAACATAGGGCTTCAACTCCACGTCTCCACTTACTTCTGTCTTCCTTCTGCTGTACTTTTCACCTGCATCCATGTTAGTCCATACTGCTTCAACTCCTCTTTACACGATCTCCTCCATGTCACCCTTGGACGTCCAATACGCCGCTTCCCTTTCGCGTCCCACTCGAGGGCTTGACGCGCGATGTCACCCAGCGGTCTCCTCAGCCGCGAGTGTCCGATCCATCTCAACTTTCTCCTGCATATTTGTTGGGCGGCGATTGGTTCTTGTTTTGTTTGTTCCCATAGTCTATTGTTAGTGATTCTTTCCGGCCGGCTATCTGATCTTCAGTATAGAGCGAAGACAGTTGTTGATAAAGGTCTGCAATAGCCTGTTGGAAATATTCTTTGTGACCCGCCCGCCAAGTTTCTGATCCGTATAGAAGAATTGACTGACTTGACGTTTGTATTGAAAATCCGACTGAATTTTGTTGTTGATGCTGAGTGACGAAGATTTCCAGATTGGTTGTTTCAGGTTGATGAATGTGTTTCTCGCCTTCCTGATTTTCGCTCGATTTGACATCCTCGTCCGTTCCTACTGGCTGTAGTTGAGACAATGCTCCCTAGATAATTCAATGAAGTAACCTCTTTCAAATCCCTACCACTGATGGTGATTGGCGCTGGATGTTGCTGCTGTTGTCGTTGGTTGGTTGGTTGATTATTTTCATAACCTGCGTCTTGTCTATGTTCACCTGGAGTCCTGTCTTCGTCAGCTGCTTCTTCGACCAATTTGTTGGTTTTCGCTTGTAAGTCTTCGATTTTGTGTGACATCAAACATAAATCATCGCCGCGCGAAATCCAGGTCTTCTAGGTTCTTCGCGTCGGTCCAGGATATCCTTGTCCCGTTTCTCGTTTCCCACTGTCTGACGCATAATCCAGTCCACCACAATTAGGAATATCATTGGTGGTAATCAGCACCCTTCTCTGACTCCTGTGTTTATTCCAAACGCCTCGCTAAATATAAGGCAAGTTGACGCATTCCAAAGGGTGTTCACATACCCCTGTGGAGGCTTCGTCAGTTACCGATCGGTTAGGAGTAACGCAAACTTCCACATTACCATGTACCTTTAGGTAGGAAGTCGTTGAGGACACACTTTTGTTTTTGGCACTTAAAAGGCCTCATTTTTTATCATCGCTTAAAAGATTATACATTGTTTTCCATACATTACTATTTCTCATACACTTTGATTTACCTTCGTTAATAACTAATTGCAATTCCTGACTTGTTGGCAATGAACACTGCAAATATAAACTCTAAAATAGCTGTTCTGTTTTGAAAAGAAGTTACGAAAAGAAAGGTCTTTGTGCTTACCTTGTAACCAGAAGGTCCTGGGTTCGAACCCCCCAGTGAATGCGTACTGTCGATGAGTCCCAGACCAGGATGAAACAGCTGTCCATTACTCTCAGATTTTCCAGTGCTTCTTTAACCGATGTCAGCTCATGATGAAATCCTGTAACCAAAAAAAGATCTCTTTCCTGACTCAGGTATTCCTAAAAATTCTCGATCATCTGTGCTTCTGAGTCAACGTAGTTCACCTTGTCACTAAGTCGGTTCTTGAAAGTCATCCCTATTAGTACATCTATAATAAAGCTGAGTAAAAAAGTAATACTAGGGACATAAGGCAGATACCTGTGATTTTCATCGCTTCATAGGACAACTTACCATACCCTATGAGTTCTAGTTTAGTGCCCTAATTAGTATCACTCTATTTTTGATACACCCTTTGCAACTAAATAGTGATTTAACATCGCTGTAGATCAAATCAGGTGGCGTTTTCAGGTGAAATAATATAGTATGTTTGAAATAATTAGTTCCCTTTATGAATTCAGACAAAACAATACGAAAACGTAATTTGTCTGAATTTGCGCAACACATTTCGAACAATCAAATCACACACAGACTTATCATAGAAATATATATGAAATTAATAAAGAGTTAAGATGTGAGAAAATAAATTTAGGTCAAGTTAAGAGGACATATTGAAGGTCAAAATAACAATCAAGATCACTAAACCAAGTAACAGAGGTAATAGTACGTCTGTTATGGTATCAAAACAAAGTTTACCAAGGAAGGCTTAGTGTGATGATGAATTGTTGCTCTGAACGCAAAAAGGTGGTTTAAACTTCCTAATTGCTAGCTAGTGCTCCCACAAACTTTAGGATACGCCCAAAACACGTTCAATAGATAGGTTTAAAAGACGTGTAAACGTCAATTTTATGTCTTATCTCTATGATACGTTTTGCAATAGAGGGGCTTCAGAGCATATTCCTAAATGGCTTCAGAAGCAGATAGAATACCCAGAATCCATTAATGGTGAGAACAGGCCACCCAGTGGAACATAGGACTTCAAGCTAGAGGCTTGAAGTTTTGATAGCAGTGGCATTTATTTTTACTGGATGGGGATGCTAGCCTCATGCCCAACCTTCCCTCTTTACCAGTCTTCTTACTGGCTTAGCGAGGTAAAGGAGTGCGTCGGCTGGGGATCAAACCCTGAACTACATGCGTGATCAGAGGGCGTTCTACCACTGTGCCACCGACGCGAACTGTTATATCGGGTTCATTATTGTATACAAGCATTTATGATCCATGGTCTCAATTGTTGAATATGGAGACAGTGATAGCAAGCGTTTTCATAAAGCCGGTATCGAATGGGAGCTCATTATATGAAAGTTCTCACAAAATTTCTGGAGCCTGTGTGCCACAAGGTAAGAAAAAGAGTCTTAGCTCATCTTATCGACGGAAGTTCAGGAAGCTACGTAATGACTAGTCTTCCCACAATGTGTGCGTAAGGATTTCTCACATGATGACCAGTTATCTTGAAAATACTAGAAACAAACGTTCCTTTTCTGAAACCTGCATGAACCACTTCCGTCATGTAAGTGAACATGATCTGGATGAATGGTAGAAATAATTCTTCCCTATAACTTCAAAACCTGTCACAGTGAGGCAGATATAATCATTTTGTGCCATTTTTCAGATTCTTGAAATTTCCACTAATGGTTCTCTTCGTCACACACACACACACACATATTTACTAATCGCCGTATCATTACATTTCTGTACTGTTATACTTTTTCTTGCTTCTTTGAGGTGTAACAACTTAAAATGATGCAGTTATATTTAAACTTCTATGTTGATTCATCAGTCACTCGTTTGTCGTGTCAATAAGTATGGCTGTTATTAAGCAAACTAACTAGGATTTGCAATCACTACAAGCATTTGATGGCCTTAAATAGTACAACAGCATAAAATGTACCAGTAAACAGTCTGAAGAAGTTTTCAAACTAAAATGTAATTGAAAAATCGAGTTTTTAAACATGTATCTCTTTTATATATTTGCCTAAAGTACTTAATAAGTTATTCCCTTCCTATTTATTGCTGCATATCAGATTTTCTAGCTGATTATTGTCACTGGTTAGCTCAAGCAGGTCATGCAGAACGTGCTCTAGCAGTTTGGCAAGCTGTTATTGAATTTAATTGTTACCGGCCTACAGAACTTGAACAAATTCCATTTGATCAGCGTATGCTTGAAATGGAGTTGTTTTGGTCTAGTGGTGTGGCTAGATTCGGTCAACCTGGTTCTCAGCATTGGAATGGTTGGTATAAAAGTCGAAGTAGTAATAAACAACAAAATAAATCTACGGGGAAAGAGTCATCATCATCATCCAAAAGTCATAAGAAGAGCCATTCTGTTTCAACTATCATCTCGGAAATCACTTCAGATATGTCGATTGAACAACTACAGACTAAATGGACCAATGTAGCTGAAAAGCTGAATGGTTTGTTATAATTATTTGACGCTTTTTTTTAATTATAATTTTCTGAGCCTAGCAAATAAATTCACTTTCACTGTACTATCAGACTCATATTACCTAAGACATGTGCAACCAAAGTGATCACAGGTTACTTCATTATGGTCCTATCTGTAAGGTATTTAGGACAGTTTACATGTTTGCGCATCGATAGTGGTTACTTCTAAGCATAGAACGTCCATATTGCTCTTGGAATGGCAAATAATCACGATTATGAGATAGGCTTGGCATCCCCTATTTAAATGAAATGACATCTACCAACTCTCGTGGAATTTATCAGCTAAGCAGATAAAACTTTGAATACAACTCTCAGTTAAGCAGAAAAGGACACTATATTATTGTAACTAGTTAATTCCCTACTTTTTTTTTACTTACCCTTGTGAATGTGTCGTTGTTGATTTTGGTTTGCAATAGTTCAGCTACTGATTACGATGTAAGTAGTCAGATTAGTATTTAAGAAATTAATCTCTGTGTTTATGGTGGAACATAGGGTTTCAAGCTTGAGCTTTGAAGTTTCAGTAACAATGTTATTCTTTTTACGGGTTGAAGTTGCTGATCTCATGCCTAACCTTCCTCCTTTGTCGGGATTGCTACCTGCTAGGCAAGGTAAAGGAGTGGACCGGCTTGGAATCGAACCCCAGTTGCGCTATATATATCGCAAGTTGTCAGATTTTGGAACTGATGAGCCATCGGACCAGATTCCAGTGGCTGAATAGTCTACGAGCTCGCCTTGTAACCAGAAGATCCTGGGTTTGAACCCCAGTAGGTGCGTACTGTCGATGAGTCCCAAACTAGGGTGAAACAGCTGTTCACTTCCTTTTCTATGGTTCATGTTAATCATTAGTCTGGCTAGACTAATTTCGTTTAACGATCCTAAATTAACACTATCATACAGTTAGCTTTGCGTGGAAGCACTAAGTAGCTTGGAATGGCATTCAGTTCATGAACATACTGTACTTATTGTCTACAACCATGACTTGTTTTTATACATGTCTAAACTGACCCAGTAGGATTTGATTTGGCTCCCCAACAACCCTGCTACAAATGATGGCATCTGAATGTAGTGCTAAACTGAGTTGTTACTTCGTAGTAGTGTGTACTTGGTTGCTACAGTTTTCAGTTAAGTAACTACGTAATGATTTCGAACAAATACTGAAACAAATTTTTACTGTATTTAGCCATAGCTAGCACCTGTGAAGACGCATTGATCAATTGTTCTGGAGAAGGAATTCCTGATGAATCTTATGAAAACACGGGTCCAGACGTCGTCCCATCAATTTTGTCATCTGAAGTTGCTGCTGATCAATGGGTTCGTCGTGGACACATTCCTTCACTAGCAGGCCATGGTTATGTTGGCAAAAGTCGTGCAATATTATATCGTCGAGGTAAAGCTTGGGTGGGTCTGGAACGTGCACGCGAAGCAGTTGGTTGGTTACCTTCTGATGTATTAAACATCCAAGAGCAAAAAGATATTGAAGATGAAGATCCTGAGAGATTGGTTTTATTCGATGATGTTAAGCCATGCTTGATAGATTTATGGAAATTCGAAGAAAGACCTAATGTTGAAACTCCTGAATGTAAAGCTCGCAGAGCATTTCTTCAGCAACGCCTATTTTTGTTGTGTTTAGAATTCCTTGGGGCGTATGATCGTGAAGTGGCTAAAGTTTATCATTTTCCAATAGGTTAGTTTCTTAGCTGTTGACCTTTTCGTATTGAATTATTTGAAAGGAGTGATTATTGATTATCTTGTTTGACAGGTGATTTAAAGTGGTACTCATTATCTACGGACATAAAGACTGAATGAAGATTTAAAAATCACAGCAACAGTAAAGTCAGTTAATTACTGTACACGTTAGTTGCATACCGTAAAGAAGGAACACAATCAGTAGATCCAAAAAGTATGAGAGGTAAAATATGTGTTCCACGCAATTTCGGGGCTCTTTCTGAACAGAAATCTTCATTACCCTATTCTTTTCAAGCCAAGTTGAAAGTGTTTCATTTGAAGTTTGCGGTCAGCTATGGACCATGCTTCTATGTTCCATATCTGTGCTATAAGTCACACTGTCACAGTATTCCATGAGTCACTTTCATCTTTTAATCTTGGACATAGACCTAACCTACCCTCTCAATTTATGCCTGGAGTTTCTATGCAGCAGCAAATTTTGAGAGTAATATTGTTTGATATGATGTATTCAGATTTTTCGTAATTCCTTTCATTTCAAAGGAAGGTGTATCGCACATGAAGAACGAAGGCCCCAAACGATCAATCCTTATGTGGTTTCTCTATCGCCCATATAAGCTTCGGTGAAACACTTGTATGTCCGTCTCTTCTATGGAAGCGTCAGGTTTCTATTTTGGAAGAGTTATCGTCTAGATTAAGTAAGGTTCTGGTCAGAGTGTAAGTATCAAAAGTACTTCCTTTACGGTGGAAGTTGTTGAAAATCTCAGCATGTAGGAAAGAGGATGCCTTTTTGTGTTTATATAGAGATCAGCTTAAAAACTGTAGTATTTGAAATCCTATGTTCCATTGTCATGCGAAGACTTAGTATATTTCGCGAAACACAAATTCGGCAGGATAGGTGAAGTTTCAGGACAAACAGTGGCTCACTACGGACACTTGGAAACTAATAGAAGAGAGAAGGACAGTGAAACAAAAGATTATCCAGTGCACCGACGAGCAACAAAAACAGGAGTTGAATGCAAGCTACAATACGCTGAACAAAAGAGTGCCGGGGAAGACAAAAAAATATTATGAAGCCATGGGAAGTGAAGCAAAACAAGCTGCAGGCAAAGGAGACCTTACCACACTCTACCAAACAACTAGGCACCTTTATCGGGTAAAAGTTCGACACAAATTAAGCCAGTGAAGGATGACAATGCAAAGTCAATCACCAAAGAGGTGGAGCAAACAAAACACTGGGATGAACACTTCAAAAGACTTCTGAATCGACCGCCACCTACAACGCGCCCGACAATACCAACAACGGAAGCAGAACTACCAGTGAACATCGACCCCTCGACGAAATCAGAAGTCCTGAATGCAATCAAGATGCTAAAAGCTGGAAAAGCAGCAGGACCAGGTGGAATCCCAGAATAAGCATTGAAAATGGACCCAGAGACAACAGTGGACTTGATGACGCCATTGCTGCAGATGGTGTGGAAAGAGGGCAAAGTACCCGAGGATTGGAAGAACGCATACTCATTCAAACTACCAAAGAAAGGAGACTGAAGTCAATACAAGAATTGACGCGGAATTATGCTCTTGTCTATCCCAAGCAAAATACTAAGCCGCATCATCCTGGAGAGAATCAAACAAGCCAACCTGGATGAGAAACTTCGACCGGAACAGGCTGGATTCAGGAGAAACAAGTCATGTATTGACCAACTCGCCGCGCTACGGATCATCATTGAACAAAGCTTGTAATGACAGTCACCTCTCTATCTCAGCTTCATCGACTTTGAAAAGGCGTTAGACAGCGTCGATCGAGAGGTGATTTGCCAACTACTTCGCTACTACGGGGTGCCACCGACAATTATACATCTCATCCAACAGTTGTACGACGATGCTGCATGCCAAGTAATCCACAACGGGAAACATACGGAATCCTTCTAAGTGAGGGCGGGAGTGAGGCAAGGCTGTCTACTATCGCCAATGATTTTTTTGATTGCAGTGGATTGGATGATGCGACAGACAACGGGCTATGGAGAAGCGCATAAAATGGACTTACACTAAAACAGACTTGGAGGATCTGGACTTCGCCGATAATATATGTCTGATTTCCCACAAACTGGAAGATATGCAAGTGAAAAGCAACTAGTTGGCGGAAGAAGCATCAAAGATAGGACTTCAAGTGAACATAGATAAAACAGAGGTGATGAAGATTCCTGGCACCAACAGCAACGACAACAACAACAGACAATAATCAGCATAAATGGGAGGAAACTGAAAGGAACAACCTCCTTTACCTACCTACCTGGGAAGCATCGTCTCAACTACAGGCTAAACTGACGGGGATATCAAAGCCAGAATCGGACAAGCAAGACAAGCTTTGCATATTTGTTGGGCGATTAGTTCTTGTTTTGTATGTTCCCATAGTTTCTTGTTGGGATTCTTTCCGGCCCGGCCATCTGATCTTCAGTATAGAGCGAAGACAGTTGTTGGTTGATGAAGGTCTGTAACAGGCTTTTGGAAATATTCTTTGTGACTCGCCAAGTTTCTAATCCTTATAGAGAGGTTTCGTGTGCATTTCGGATTGTGAAGGCGATTGTTACTTCCCGGCTGCCCACACCGTGGAAGTTGGTTGCGTGACCGCAGAGCCCAGGGGACAACTGCTTGAGGCCGGTCACACGCGGCCTGTTTTTGTTCGTTCTTTTTTGTTTGGTGTGTCTCAGTAGCATATTTATCACTCCTGCCCTGTGACACGGCAGCAGGAAGCGCGGTCGTTGTTAATCCGGGCCACGGCCGATCCGGCATGAAATTTTGTAATTTTGTATTGGACATGATGTTGGATTGGGTAGCTGCTTTTTGTTTAACCGCTATCTAAACAACCTTTCTGGTATGGTAGAACCTCAAGAGACATAAGTCTCAGCCAGTATAGCTTGATTAGGTCATTGCGGTGTTCAAGCCCGACCATTACGTCAAGGTAGCAGCTTTCGGTCTCGTTGACTTGGAATATGCAGACGATATAGTCCTTCTAGGCGAAGACGCTGACGAAATGCAGAGTCTTCTAAACACCTTGAGCCGCAATCTACGAATGTTTGGCATGCGATTCGCTCCCGCCAAATGCAAGATGATGTTACAGGACTGGACTACATCGACGCCTAGTTTCAAAATAAGAAGTGAAGTGGTAGAGCACGTTGACCGCTTCACTTATTTGGGAAGTACCATCAGCCCCAACGGGCTGATCTCTGACGAAATCTCAGCACGAATACAGGGGGCTCGTTTCGCATTTGTTAGTTAACGCCGACTCTGGCGTAGACGAGATGTTCGACTATCGACCAAAGGGCGGGTGTACTGCTCATCAGTCCGCTCCGTCCTCCTTTATGGTTGTGAGACCTGACCACTGAGAGTGGAAGACATGAAAAGACTAGCTGTCTTTGATCATAGGTGCCTGCGTTCTATTTCCCGTGTAAAGTGGCATAATAAGGTGAGCAACATGGAGGTTAGGCGTAGAGTTCTAGGTAAAAGGGGAAATCAATCGACGAAGTCGTGAAGTACAAAGACTGAAATGGTTAGGACATGTGTTACGTATGCCAAGCCATCGCCTCCCTCGACGAGCAATGTTAGCGGATATAGGGTCAGACTGGAAAAAAGCTAGCGGCGGTCAAACAAAAACTTGGCATCAGTCAATGAAATCCACAACAGTTGGTCTAAGCCAGGTAGGAAGGTGTAGACTTCCAGGCTGGGGTCCTCGGGACGGTAAAAATCAGTGGTTGGAAACAATTGGTGACATGGCTCAAAACCGTTCTCAGTGGCGCAGATGCATCCACTCCCTGTGACTTATGATCTTCATTGAAACTGTTTTGTATTTCTTTATTACTCCTTTGTCTCACACCTCTGCTCACTGTTTCTATTATGCTTTTCTTGTACTTTCTTCTCTTGCTTCGCGTGCTACACGGAATGTGGCGACTTGAACTTCCGCACATTTGTGCAAAGTTCTATGTCGAAAACAGACAGACAGACAATCCTTATAGAAGAACTGACTTGACGTTGATGCTGAATGACGAAGATTTCCAGATTGGTTTCAGGTTGATGAATGTGTTTCTCGCCTTCCCGATTTTCGCTCGATTTGACATCCTCGTCCGTTCCGACTGGCTGTAGTTGAGACAATGCTCCCTAGATAATTCAATGAAGTAACCTCTTTCAAATCCCTACCACTGATGGTGATTGGCGCTGGATGTTGCTGCTGTTGTCGTTGGTTGGTTGGTTGATTATTTTCATAACCTGCGTCTTGTCTATATTCACCTGGAGTCCTGTCTTCGCCAGCTGCTTCTTCGACCAATTTGTTGGTTTTCGCTTGTAAGTCTTCGATTTTGTGTGACATCAAACATAAATCATCGCCGCGCGAAATCCAGGTCTTCTAGGTTCTTCGCGTCGGTCCAGGATATCCTTGTCCCGTTTCTCGTTTCCCACTGTCTGACGCATAATGCAGTCCACCACAGTTGGGAATATCATTGGAGGTGATGGTTGGTTCAAGAGTCCTTTGAAGTGATATGCCCATTGTTTAATCTGTTTTTCTTCCTTGGTAATTGGGTTCCCTTGGCTGTCTTTTATTGGTTTCAGTTGTGTTGATCTCTTCCCAGATAGATACTTGGTTATCTGATAGTGTCCTTAGGTCTCTTTTGCTTGCTGCTTTTTCAGCTTCAGTGCCCAGGTTGTCGTAGAATTGTCTTTTATCCTTCTTAGCACTCTTCTTCACTTCTTTGCCCAGTGTTGTGTACGTTGAACTGAGCGTCTCTTTCTCTTGTTCGTCTTTGCACTGGATCATTTTCTCTCTCACCATTCTCCTCTCCTCTATTAGTTTCCAAGTGTCCATTGAGAGCGATTCTTTGTCTTGTCTCTTCGTTCTTCCTAAAATCGTTGACACGTTTCGTTGAAAACCACCTTCAGAGAGTTCCAATGGTCTTCCACGCATGCTTCTTCAGTGATGTCGCGTAGTGTTTCCTGCTTTGCTCTGACAGTTGCAGTGAAAGTGTCCTGTGTGGTTGTGTCCTTCAGTAATTGAGTGTTGAACTTGCATTGTGGCCTATCCCCAGCTATCCTCGAGGCTTTTAGCTTCACCTTGAAAGTCCCTTGTATTAGATAGTGGTCTAAACTGACAGCTGCTCCTCTTCTCGATCTTGTGCCCAGTAGGCTGCGTCCCCACTTCTTTGAGATTGAAATGAAGTCTATCTACCAGAAGGCTTTCACCAGCCTGCACCATTTCACTTCCCCTATGTCAGCGAAAAATAAGGTTATTGTTTATATTTTTTAGAATTTTTAATATATTTGTGCTTTGAAGTTTCTGTAGAGATTTGGTTAAGTTTTGGGGGTGGAGTTGCTAGCACCACGCCCCAACCCTCCCTCTTTATCAGGGCTTGGGACCGGCTACAAAACTAGCGAGCTAGTAATCTAGGCGAGGTTGCCACATCAAATTGCTTATATTAATTTGCATGTACTTGTGGAAGCAAATACATTGGGCACATGGAAAGATGTCCAGCAGTTGGCGTTGTAACAACAGAAGACAAGGGCCAGGCAACAGATCGTTTTATTATGAAAATCAACAGGTATTTATACACATTTCACATACATTATTATAGCTTATGCAAGTAGACAAGCGCAGTCATGTGATTGGTTGTTTATCAGTAGTTAGGCAGACAAACGCAGGCTTCTGATTGGTTGTTTCGGGATTCCTCGACAAATAGAGTTCTCTATCTGCGAATCATATTTTGCCACGTTAACTTTTCTGTGATTGGTTGTTGAATCAGCCTTGCTCATATTTTCTCACGGCCTGCTCTCACCACAGCGTTGCCAAACATTACCACAAATGATGACATTCCCAGGAGCTTAGTCACACGACATTTATTGAACTGCGATCATATGCTGACGTTGAGTAGAAGATTTATGGTTGATCATTAAGCAAAATAATTTTTTAAAAGCTGTTGGTTTTCCCATTGGCTGCGCAATCGCATTAAATAAACCGGATCTGTGTATATATTCAAAAGGCCTTAAACCTACGTTGGTAGCATACTTTTATTTTACCTGTAAAATTTTCCTTCCCTTTTCCTTTTACAATGTTTTTTCCACCATTATTATTTTTTCTTCTGACGATCGTGTTATTTTTCTTGGGATATGTGCAAATCGAAGATCAGAGTTGAGTATTAATCTTGATGAGGAGTGTTGAAACTATTTTATGAGTTTAGATCAGACATTTAATTGAATTTTAGATTTTCCCGTCGATTAATTGGACTGAAGTGCTCGGTCTCAGGCTTACATGTCAGCCCCTTGTGCAGATGCTTCGACAACGTCTGAGCATTTAATTAGAATTTAATTTGTGGATGTTGACTAGCAGTGTAATCCAGGATGCGCATTTCGTCCTATTTGGGACTCGCTAGTCAGCTGGATGTACCTGCATTTCCCAGTGAGTGATGATGTCAACGGGAAAATCTAAAATTCAATTAAATAATTAATATGATCCGTTGAACAAGAAGCAGTGGCTCTCGTGGCCCAAGTGGTCTAGTGGATAACGCTTTGGCGTTTGAAACTATCGGTACTGGATTTGAGCCTTGGTGGGAACATCATCACTCACTGGAAAATGCAGGTACATCCAGCTGACTAGCGAGTCCCGAATAGGACGAAATGCGCATCCCGGATTCCACTGCTAGTCACGATCCACAAATTAAATTTTAATTAGATCATACATGTTTAAATCTTGTTATTTAGTCCCATATGGCTTACTTGTGTGAAATTTACGAAGTTTCTTTATGTCTAGATGTTTATAAATGCATTAATCCTACCACAATAACTCCAGTTTTAATGTTAACATTTACTTTGATGACTATTTATTTAGTAATGACGTTAAAACAGATTACTACTCACCACCTATAGATCATACACTTGTTATAACAGTGTTCATGTGTCTGTATGTATTTAACCTCGGAAAATTGTATAAATGGCAATATTTGTAGAGCATTCATCTGACGAGTCCTACTGAAGTTGAATTCAGTAAATACTGCTTCTTTTACAACTGCTGCTTGTTTTCAATGTAATGCGAGAAACAAATGTTTTCAATTGCTACTGAGTGTACACGAGTAGATTCCTGCAATCGTGTTACTCAACTTCCTAGATTGAAACGAATGCCTCTGTTGAATAAATCATGGATACTTAAAAAATCAATTGAAACTAAGGTTTGATTTTGTCATTATTACATTATTATTTATCCTAGTATATTAGCGTGTACTATTGTGCATCAAGCTAGTTTCATCATACCTAAGTATTCGTATTCTATCTCCCTCACATATTAGATATTCGCCTCGTACACGACATAGCATGTGTTGGCAGTGTTCAACGTCAAGGTTTAACACCATTTCCATCTCAATCATGGATGTCAAGTAATTCAGAAACATCAAGTCCTCAAAATGACAATGAACAGTTGAATACTTCCTCACAAATGGCTAATGAACACCAGGATGTTTGGGCTCAAGCTCATCGTTGTTTTATTGATGCAGCACTTCTTCAAATGAATGAATTACCATCTTGGTGGCCAGTGAAAGTGAAAGAAAGCTGGCGGACAACATTAAGTAAATTACGTTTTACAATAGCATCTGAACGTCTTTCAAATTCAATTCAAACACAATCAGTTGGTGTTAAGGTGAGGAGGAATAAGTAATGGTGTAAATTATACTTAATTTTAATTCTTTTTCAATACTGTTATTCATGACAGTAGTAATAACAATCCACTGAAATTACTATGATGATGTCCACTAAATATGGGAATTTAAAAACTCAGTTAAATAATACGCTACATCCAAAGTGTAATTCTAGTTGTCACTTGACAACTTATGAGTATTGAAAGAAACAAAGCTGGACAGTGTTCCAGAATACGTTTGTGGACTTGACGTTGCGTACAGCCGATATACTTAGACCACATGAGCAAGTGAATTGATAAATACACATTGAAGTGGCCAAAAGCGGTATGTTGCCCTTAGCGTTTGATTGGATTAACTGTCTGCAGGAGAATATGATACGTAGAGTGGCTGTTGGAAATGTCTTCTTCAAACATTTAGAAAGGCGGTTTCTGAGAATTTCCGCTGCGATATCACCTTTGAATTCTAGGTTCATGAAGAGAGTCTTCTTAGGAACCGTTGCGATGTTTGACATCGGAGGCTTCTTCATGTTTTTGTCGATAAATCTTGATGGATACCCATTCTCCAGTAGGGTTTGACGTAAGAAATTTAATTCTTTCTCTACCATGTCTTCCGAGCAGATTTTTCTAATCCTTGAACACAATGTACGTACCAGGTTACCAGTATCTGATTGGTCTAAAGATTTCTGTGTTAATTATAATTACGATTGTACAGCTCATGAAAATGAGTTGTCGAAAAGAAAATTTTCTTTGCTGTTTGTGTCTTTTTCTTATAACTCTGAGTATTGTTGCAGTTGTGGGCTTCATTGGCTTCAGCACACTATCTACATTTAGGGCATTGTTAGTAGTCTGCAGCTCAGCTCACCTACTGAGTTGTAGGGAGATAGTATAATTAGGTTAAGCTCGAATTGTATGGCTCGTGACCCACACTTCACGTAGATGCTATTATTCAAAGGTACATTTTAAGATTTGTATCTTTTATTCTCTTACTGTTCGAAATTTCTGAGATCAGAAAGAGTAAATGTGCATGTATAATTATCGCTGATCATAGACGGCACTAACAAAGCTCTCCATACATACCCTCTTTACGTCTTAGTCATATCAATCTTGTGAACGGGTTCGATATCTTTATCCACTTACTCTTAGTTTAAAGCATTAACTTTTCTTCAGGTCTAATCTAGAAAGATTGTGGCTATCAGTTCATTTGTCTTCTTTATATAGCAGTCTACGTGTAACCTGAACATTGCTTTCTGTGTGACTCCATCATAACCAAGCAATACTATGAAGAAAATTATGTTAGAGAGCAGTTCTATCCTCTTTGGTGATCTTTAATAGCAATGAACAAAGCCAGTAACCTGGTGAAGAACAATATTATTTGCTTCCTATCAAACAACTGCTTGGTATACCAATGAACCTACTTACTTTATAATTTTTTTTATTTTTTATTTTTGATTACAGCTTGATTCCACACCGTATTTTTGGTACAAGTGTGGAATTTTCAGCGTGGATATCGGTAGCCCAAAATTCTCAGGCCGACCATAGATATCAGGTGTGCGTCGGCGTGGGCTCGAACCTCAGACCATGTGCATAGTCGGCGAGAGTCCTAACCACTGTGCCACCGACGCATAATTATACTTCACTACGCAGAGTCATGTCAACCTGACAATCTTCTGTCTTCTAGGTATTCCATTTGTTGACGAATAGTGTTCTGTAGCGAAGTCACCACATAAAGTGTTTCCAAATAGTCAAGGGTATTTTGTGGAATAGTTTCAGAAGAACTTATTCCTCGATTACGTTAATAGTTCACCATCATTATTTGAAAAATTTGAAAGAGGTCACTTCCTTCACTTATCTTGGAAGAATCGTTTCAACAACAGGCAGTACACTTGAGGATGTCCAGTGCCAAGATCGGGAAGGTAAGGCTCCGTCTGCCTGTCTGTCTGGATTCAACATAGAACTTGGTACCGTAGTGCAGCAGTTCGAGTTGCCACGTTCCAAATAGCACACAGAGGTAGACAAGAAGATGAGTTAAGTGTATCAATACAGTCTGACAAGTATAAGAGTGAAACAGAATGGGTAATGGTAGAGAGGAATATGAAAGATTACAGAGACTGAATACATCTGCGCCGGCCATTGACAACGATTTTGAGCCATGTCACCTATTGTCTCCAGCCATTGATTCCTAGAGTCCCGAGGGCTCCGACCCGGAAGTCTGCATCTCCCTACCTGACTCAGTTAAACTGTCAAGGTTTTCATGGATTGATGTGGCCATGTTTTTGTTCGGCCACCACTTACCCTTTTCCAGCCTGCATCTATATCAGCTAGTAATGCCCGTCGTCGGGGGAGGCGATGGTTAGGCATGCGCAGCACGTGACCTAGCCATCTCAATCTATGTAACTTTATAGCCTCGTCGATTGATTTTCCCTCTTTGCCCAGCACTCTACGCCTAACGTCAACATTACTTACCTTATTAAACCACCTAACGTGAGAAGAGATCGCAGACATCTATGATCGAAAGCAGTCAACCTTTTCATGTCTTCAACGTGTATTGGCCATGTTTCAGAGTCATAGAGAAGGATGGAGCGAACTGCTGAACAGTACACACGTCCCTTGGTTGATAGCCGAATGTCACGCCTACGCCAGAGATGGTGTAAGTCAGCGAAAGCAGCTCGAGCTTTTCGGATCCTTGCTGAGATTTCGTCGCCAATCGGTCCGTTGGTGCTAATACAACTTCCCAAATAAGTGAAGTGGTCAACATGTTCTATCACTTCACTCCCTATCACTAAGCTAGGAGTTGACGTAGTCCAGTCCTGTAGCAGCATCTTACATTTTGTAGGGGCGAATCGCATGCCAAACATACGAAGATTGCTGCTCAAGGTGTTCAGAAGACTCTGCATTTTGTCAGCATCTTCCCCTAACAGGACTATTTCATCTGCATATTCTAAGTCCATAAGACTATACCCTGGTAACAAGTCGATTCCTACGTCATTACGTTCAGTTAAGGATACAAGAAATATGACAATTGTTGGACGCCGAAAAGTGTGTATGTTCTAGAATCTGTCGAAGAGTGAAGATATGATCTATGCACCCTCTACCTGGTCTAAAGCCTGCTTGATTTTCCCTTGTCTGTTCCTCCCGAGTTCTGCTTAGTATGTGCATGATTACTGAGCCTAGGATTTTAGAGACTATGTTCGTTAGGCTGATCCCCCTATGATTATCACACGAGGACTTGTTTCCCTTCTTGAATATCGGTATAATAAGTGACTTACCCCAGTCTGATGGCACTGTCTCTGATTCCCAGACTTTGCCTAGTACCTCAGTTAATCTACAAACTAGTATGTCACCCCCATATTTAAACACCTCCGGAATAATTCCGTCGGGTCCTGCCGCTTTGCCTCGTTTCAAATTACTGATAGCTTTTGTGACTTCACTTACAGACTGCGGACCAGTGTCTATATCCCATTCGGGTGTGGGGTGGATGTCGGGAAGGTTCAGTGTGGCTGTAGGCAAGTTAAATTGGCCCTCAAAATGTTCTTTCCAGCGTTCAAGGCGTCTATCCTGAGAGCTAATTAAGGAGCTATTTTTCTCAGAAATAGTCTCACTTATGATTTGCTTTCTCCCTCCCGTTTCCCTGATGAGTCTAAAGAGTTGCCTAATGTTCCCTAAGGCGGACCTTCATCACTCTTCAGTCAGTGTGGAGATCTTCTGCACTCAGCATAGAAAATAAAATCCTTATTTTCAACACAAATGTAAAGTCAGTCAGTGCTTCGATATGGGTCAGAAACTTGATGCGTCACGAAAAATATTTCCAACAGGCTACTCAGACTTTTATCAACAGCTGCCTTCGCCCCATATTGAAGATTAAATGACTAGAAAGAATTTAACGACAAGAAAATCTGGGAACGAACCAATCGAGAAACTATGGCTCGAGAAATAAGTAGACAAAAATGGAAATGGACCGGGCACACGCTTAGGAGACCATCGAATGATATAGCGCGCTAGGCCCTCACTCGAGTGAAACCTGGATGGGGAACGACGAGGGGGGCGTTGCTTCGAGGGTGGCCTAGAGTAGACCATGCGAGGAAGCGATAAGAGACTATGGGCAATCGTGAGGCCAGCTAAAGAGGACCACAGAGAACAGAATAAAGTAAAGGTTTGCTGTTAAAGCCCTATTTTACACTCAGAAGCTGCGGGAACAACAACGACAATCTCATTATTTCTAGATTGAATTATTTAGTCTCACCTTAAAATATGAACTCCTTGGGTAAACACTTCAAATATCTCAGTGGAATTTGGATGCATGCTAGTGGCTAGTTCCAAGTAGAAGGACTTTGCCCTTGGAATTCAATACTAGCCACTGACAAACAGGGTACATTGAATGGATCATAATGTTGACATATATATATTATCTAAACAACCACTAATTTCTTGTTATCTCATAGTATCAATAATTTTTCACAGACAACGGTAGCGGATACGCACTGTTCACACTCCCAATTTGGACTTATTCCATCCACAAGGGCTCAAGAGATTTGCTACTGTAAATCAAATTCAAAATCTGCAAATCAGTTGGTAATTTTTGCAGCGTGCACAGTTCGACGGGTGAAATCTTCACCACAGTTTCTTTTCCTGTAGAGATCAAAGTATTCAGATCACAGTGTGTGTGTGATCTACTTCATCTCATAAGTGTTAATGTATAAACAAAGCATATTTAAAATAAAACTATATACTGCTGATTGGTTGAGATGAGTTGTTGTATACTACTCATGTAACAACAGAAGACAAGAGCCAGGCAACATATCGCTTATGAAGGAAATCAACACATATTTATAGATTTTCATGTACATATTGTAGATTATTTTTAGCAGAAAAACACAGTCTTCTGATTAGTTGTTTCTCACTGAAAGTTAATCTTTTATCTCTTTGTGGCTGTTTTTGAATGTCAGATCATATATATGCTAATTGTATACGCCTACGCAAAGTCTGGTGTGGTTGGTTGTTGAATCAGTCTTTGTTCATATTTTCTCACGATCAATATTGAGGACGTAAACATTGACGTAAATTACTGTCTACCAATTTGGCTAGCAGCCAGCTCTCACCACACTCATATTAATTAGTAGTTTCGTTTCCCAAAGGAAACCGCGGTGAAAATTCCACCCGTCAAACTGTCTACACTGCAAATTACTAACTAATTTGAAGGCTGTGAATTTGATTAATGGTATTGTAACGACAGAAGACAAGGACCAGTCAACAGATCGTTTATTGAGAAAATCAACAGCTTTTTTATGGATTTTTACGTGCATTATTGTCAGCGGAGAAGTAACGTCTTCTGATAAGTTTTTTTCTTGCTAAAAGGTTATTCTGTCATCTTTTCGTGACCGTTCCTCTGAAAGTTAAGCCATATACCTGCAAATCCTATTTGCACACGTTAAGTCTGCTGTGATTGGTTGGTGAGCTCCTCAAGGTTAAGCTTTGTTATCGTTTTTTCTCATGACCCCGATTCGACACGTAACATTGACGTAAATTTCTGTCTACAATTTTGGCTTGCTCACAGCCAGCTGTCACTACAGTATCACCGTTTCATCCAATTAGCTGTAGTGAGTCAGAAATCGGATAGTTTGAACTGATTTGGCTATCTGAGCTGAGTGAGTCAAACTGAGTACACCGTTGATGAACTCGTCACCGACTGACCGTCCGGTGTTCAGATCACCTCGATTTGACCAGCCAGCAAGCACTGCTGCTGTACAATTCATGCGCATATCACTTTTTACAATCAGTTTTGATAAATATTCCAATGGTGATAATGACAGACCTTTCTACCAAATACGTCTCGAGTGTTCATTTTTGTTTGCATTACATACTGTATGTATTATACATGTTGTATTTTTATTTTCTAAGACTGCGATATCTATCTGGCGTAATTGTGGTCGTGCAATTATCTCCGAAGGTAAAAATCAACAAGATTTAAATTTATGGCGAGCTTATGCAAAAGGTTTCTGGCAAATCAGTCAAGATTTACTTATCACTGCTACACTTCAAGATGTTAAAATTCCAATTGAAGAGTCAAGACGTATACTTGATTCCGCGCTAACCATGTATCCAATACCTGAAGATTTTGGGCCATCATTGAAAGAGGATATGCATAAATTAACAGATTTCTATCAGAATACATATACTCCCAGACTGAAACTACTACAGGTATGTGTACTCACATAGATCAAGTTAATAATAATTAATGAAAGTTAAACATACTCTTCAGGCACTCTTTTTGGTGATGTTTATAAATTATCCCACTAAACAAATATTACCTAACTGTGAACTGTTTATTGCATTATTAACATCATGGCGTGTGTTACTGATATGATTTGTAAGTAGTATATAGATGCGGACATAAATATGTCTACCAACTTCAAGAATATCAAATGCTGGAGATTGGTTTGATAAACGATGTCTGAGAAATGACATGGCAAACATGAAAGGAAGACAAAGAAGAGCAGTACGGAAGATAAAGTAGAACAATACCGAAGATATATGCAAATTGCAATTCTACGATATGGTAGATGTATTTCGCCTATCAATGTGTATGTCGAGTTACACATAACTAGTTCCATTACTAATTCTCTTGCCTTGTGCCGTTACAACATAAGCTCAGTGGTAAATTTATTTATTCATTTATGACAACGACTAGTCTACGTCTAGATGATCGCTTTTTCTTATAAGATTGTGTCAAGTGACTAAGTAACTTATTCGTCTTAAAATTCTGATATCACTTGGAAACCTCCAACTAGTCGTTCTTAGCAGAGGATTGTAGGATTTACTGTGGCTAGACTACTTTCTCGTTTTAATTTTTATTACTACTAGTTGTAGACATCTCAAGGTTTGTTATGCGTAAAGCTATATACTACTGAATAATTGAGATGAGTAGTAATAGTGGTCGTATGGCGAACTCAGTACCCAGAACAGCTAGGTCTTTTATCTTCTAAGCCATGAGCCACACTTATTGTCTTAGGGCTGTGGCTGTCCAGGATTCGAACCTTGGACTCACCGACTGACAGTCGAATGCTTGTACCAGTGAACCACGTCTCCAAGGTTGGGATGAGTAGTTGTATGCCGCTCACATAAACCGGTAGGTAGTTCTTGATAGGTAGCCAAATGGTGGTGGTGATTTAAACCCTGGATGGCTGTTTCTCTCGTTTTGGGTTGAACTGATCAGTGGTGAACGCTGTTTTGACTGAACTCTGGCAGCTGAATCAGTTCAAACCCAAAACAAGCGAAACAGCTTTCCGATGTTTACATCACTCTGGTTTGACTGAGTGATATACAACTAATCATCTCAATCTATGAGTATTATACAGTTTTTTGCTTGCTTTCTTGATTACCATTTATATTGTGAAACAGATCACATATTCAAGTGTTGGTTTGTAGGGATTTGATTGGTTTCAGGATTTCATCATGAGCTGACATTAGTTAGAGAACCATTGGAAAACCTGGGAGTACTGAGCAGCTGTTTCGTCCTAGTTCGGGACTCTTCAGCAGTAACCCAGGACCTTCTGGTTACAAGGCGAGCTCGTAGACCATTGAGTCAGTGTGACCCGATCCAATGGCTCATGAATTCTAAATTCTGCCAATTCACGATATAGCGCGACCCCTAGCCAATGTCTTTGGCGAGTATTTGTCCTCACCCCCCCCCGACGTGCTGCACCCTACTGGTCGCGACTTCTCACCAGAACCCCAGGTAACTGCGTACTGATGAATAGTCACAAACTGGGATGAAACAGCTGTCTAGCACCCCCTGCAGGTTTTCCGATGGTTCTCTAGCCAGTATCAGCTCATGATGAAATCGTGCAATCAGATTACATATTGTGTGATCTAAATAATTTCAGTTTCCAAAAGAAACGGTGACGCAGTATCACTTTGAATTGTGTAAACTACAAATTAATTTGCAAATAGCGAATTTGATTTAAGGGGTGTTTTCTCTTTGTTGGACAAATCTGGGATAAAATCCATAAGAGATTTTTTTGAGCTTATGTTGTTAAATTTATATTCACCGCCAAGATTCAGCTCAGTTACTTGGGTGTCATAATTTCTCACGGATTGATTTCCGTATTTAAGATTGCTCTTCTAACTCATACTGTGGCAAGTGCTACTGATAAGATTTGCCAGTAGTATATAAAGAGACGTTCATCGGCATAAAACATCAAATTGCAGGGAGATATATTTGATTTCGGAGGAGGCAAATAATACAGCATAGTGAAGATATATGGGGGACATGAAAGGAAAACTAAGAAACACAACATGAATTCCAGAAGTACCATGACACGAAGATCTATGTAAATGGTGCATTGAAGATAAGGTGTACATAATTTGGCTATATAGAGATACCAATTTCCTAATAAATATTCCTTTTCCAAGTTTTCGTTGTCTACCATTTCAATACTTTCAGCAATGAATGAAGAGAGCTGATCGAAACTTTGCATAGAAAATGTCGTTCGAATCTATAACCAACTGTTAGTCACAGCTCTGTTATGTTCAATTATTATTTATTTTATTATTATTATTTCCTTTAATTCCTGGAGGAACATAGGGCTTCAGCTGCAGTTCTCTGCTAAAGTTTTCACCTGACTCCAGGTCTGCCCACATGCATTCATCTCCTCTTCACCCTTGGACGACTACCTCGCCGCTTCCCTTTCGGGTTCCTCTCGAGGGCTTGTCTAGTGATGTCACTTGGTGGTTTCCTCAGCGTATGGCCAATTCATCTCCATTTCTTCCTGCCTATTTGTTCCACAATCGGTTCGTGGTTGATTTGCTCATTGCCAGAGATCCCTGTTGCTGATCTTTTCTGGCCGGCCATCTGATCTTGAGTATTGAGCGAAGACAACTGTTAATGAAGGTCTATAGTTTGATGTGCTCTTCATGACGCACTGGCCAAGTCTCTGATCCGTATAGTAGGTAGCACTGACTTCACATCTGAGTTGAAAATCCGGATGTTATTTTTGATGCAGAGTAGGGCTGTTGACCTCAACACAGACTTGAGAGTAATGGAAGCTTGTCTTGCTTTGATATCTTCGTCAGTTCCGTCCGTCTGTGGTTGAAACTATGCTTCTCATGTCGGTAGGTAAAGGAGTTTGTTTCTTTCAGGTTCCTCCCATTTATGCTGCCTGATTGTTGTCTGTCGTTGCTGTTGGTGTTGGCCAGGAATCTTCATCACCTCTGTTTTATCTATGTTTACTTGGAGTCCTATTTTCTCTAGATGCTTCTTCTGCCAGCTTGTTGCTTTTCACTTGCATATCTTTCACTTTGTGCGAAATCAGACTTAACATATCATTGACGAAGTCCAGATCCTCTAAGTTTTTCGTGAGTGTCCATTTTATGCATGTTTCCTTGCTGCCCCCTGTCTGTCGCATTATCCAATCTACCGCAATCATGAAAATCATTGGCGATAGTAGGCAGCCCTGTCTTACTCCCGTTATGTTCAATAAAATTTATTGTTTTAATTATCATACCATAGAATATTTTATTTATTTGTGTGTTCTTTTTTAAAAATATTTAAAACAAAAGGATTATGTAGACTTAGAAATGGATGTATGCCCTGGTTCAGGTAGTTGTCTGAAAGGCTTCAATGAAGAGACTCGTGTATTACACTTATTGACGTATGCTGCCATCGGTGGTGCATATACTGCGTATACAGAATCATCGAGTGAAATAATGCCAACTGTTATGGTGAAAACAAACTATCGATTTGGTAAACGCATAGAAGCTATATGGACTACTTTAGTCGGCTTATCAGAGGTAGACACCAATCAAAACAGTGATTATCAACAGTTTCTCAGTGCTCTGATCAGTTCAGTGCCGATTATATGCTATTTGAATTTGATGTTTGATCTTCTGACTGCAGATCAAAAGGTAGTTGATTATGGATTGGTGCTTTTTTGTTCTTAAAATTTCTATATGTATATATGTTTTTATTTTATATTTTATGTATGAGGCACTTGTTCTCTGGACAAATCTAGATACTTAATGACTGTTCTCAGTGGTCCCCCCCTAAGTGAAGTCAATCAAGCCAACACTTGGAAATATAGACTTGATAAGTTTGGTAGAAGTTGAATGGTACTTGGACTAGGTTTTATACTGCATGCTGTTATGGATTTAAAAGTACATTGGAAACTTAGTAGCACTGAGAAAGTGTATGTTTTACAGAACTATGCAGTGACAAACATCCTCAATGTATTCTAGGATTAAAGTTTCTCTAAAACAACTCATTCGTCATGCCCACTAGTGCTCACTATTAATTTTCCGAATTGTCTGTTTGTAATTAGTATAGAGTTCCAGTATAGAAACAAGTGGAATAATGATTCCAGGAGATTGTGACTGATCTGAATTAGGTTCTTAGTTGATAAATATATACGGTGACCAATTTTTGTACATCTAGTTTTGACTGGGTTAAGGAGAATACTGTGTTGTTAAGTGGAATGAGTGTAGCGGCGAGAAATGCTCCTTTCAATGCATCTTTAATTGTATATAGAAAATATCCCCATTTAGATATTTAGAAAAGAGAAAGATTGAGCGAAGATATATTTACTTTTCAATTAGATCCTCATCTCTGGCTCGACTCTAATATATATTACAGCAGAGCCAGAGATGAGGATCTAATTGAAAAGTAAATATTTCTTCGCTCAATCTTTCTCTTTTCTAAATCTTTATATCTGTTTTCTGTTCTAATGGATACTTCTTCGCCTTTTTACGCTAGACAAATAAAAACTGGTTACTTTTCAACTATTTCGGGCTTTGTCCTGTTGCATAACGTCTCATTGTGTCTTGATTTTGATTTTCACTCACTGAGTTGAACTCACTCTGAAGGTTTCAAATCTACTGCCCTGATGAACTCTCCACCATTATAATAATTATTATTTTTCCCTTGGGTTCCTAGTGGAACATAGGACTTCAACTACACGTCTCCACTTGCTTCTGTCTTCCTTCTGCTGTACTTTTCACTTTCATCCATGTTAGTCCATACTCTTTCAACTCCTCTTCACACGATCTCCTCCATGTCACCCTTGTACTGACGTCCCACTCTCCGCTTCCCTTCCGAGTTCCACTCGAGCAATGGCCTGACGCGCCCGCGATGTCACCCAGCGGCCTCCTCAGCGAGTGTCCAATCCATCTCCAATTTCTCCTTCATATTTGTTGGGCGATTGCTTCTTGTTTTGTTTGTTCCCATAGCTAGTTTCTTTTTGGTGATTGTTTCCAGCTCGGCCATCTGATCTTCAGTATAGAGCGCGAAGACAGTTGTTGGTTGATAATGGTCTGCAACAGGCTGTTGGAAATATTCCTTGTGACCCGCCCGCCAAGTTTCTGATCCGTATAGAAGAACTGACGTGACGTTTGCATTGAAAATCCGATCGAATTTTGTTGTTGATGCTGAGTGACGAAGATTTCCAGATTGGTTTCAGGTTGATGAATGTGTTTCTCGCCTTCCCGATTTTCGCTCGATTTGACATCCTCGTCCGTTCCGACTGGCTGTAGTTGAGACAATGCTCCCTAGATAATTCAATGAAGTAACCTCTTTCAAATCCCTCCTAGTGATGGTGATTGGCGATGGATGTTGCTGTTGTTGTTGTTGGTTGGTTGATTATTTTCATAACCTCCGTCTTGTCTATGTTCATTTGGATTCCTGTATTTGCTTCTTCTTCTTCAACCAGTTTGTCGGTTTTCTCTTGTACGTCTTCGATTTTGTGTGACATCAAACATAAATCATCCACGCACGAAATCCAGGTCTTCTAGGTTCTTCACATCAGTCCAGGATATCCCTGTCCCGTTTCTCGTTTCCCACTCACAGTCTGACGCATAATCCAGTCCACCACAGTTAGGAATATCATTGGTGATAATAAGCCAGCACCCTTGTCTGACTCCTGTATTTATTCCAAACGCCTCGGTGAGTTTTCCGTTGTGGATCTCTTGACATGTGCCATTGTCGTACAGCTGTTGAATATGGTTGATGAATATTTGGGGCACTGTACACCGTAGTACTCGAGTCATTTTCAAATTACTTCGCGGTCAACGCTGTTGAAGGCCTTCTCGAAGTCTATAAAGTTGAGGTAGAGATTTGATTGCCATTCCATGCTTTGTTCTGTGATGATGATGCGTAGAGTTGCAATTTGGTCAGAACATGATTTGCCTGACTTTCCTAAATCCAGCTTGTTCTGGTCGGAGTTCTGTATCCAGTGATGCGACTCAGAGTTTTACTTGGCGTCGACAGGAGCATGGACCTCGCCATAATATGTATAAATTCCTTCTGTTGTTTTATCTTGTATTTTTTCTCTAGTCCATCCTAATTTCCTAGTGAAATCTGAACTCAACCCCTTTTGTCTAATTACCTTATAAATAGTGACTCTTTTAACACTTAATAATTGTCTACTTACATCATCTTTTAAATTATGTTGCTTATACTCTCTAGGAATCAATTAAAATCATTGCGAAAAGTATGTTCAGAAATTTTGTGACATATAATTGTTTTATTTAGGATGTACGCGGTTGAAGAGTGGGAGAATCCACGAAATAAAACGAGCTTGTATTATCCTGTAAATATGTTCGTTCTTCCTCTTATTCAAACTGATAAAGTGAACTGGATGTATGAAAACATTATTTGTACTAAAACTTTACATGAATCTTGATTCGAAAGGCGATTCAGTTGGCAATATCCTTAAGGAAAGAATTTCGTCATCATTGAGAAGAGCATTCTTAACAGCAATTGTTAGATTGCACTGCTTTCCAGTTGTCCACTCGTTTACAGAAGCCTGAAAGACAAGACTTTTCATCTGATAACTTCTATGTGCATATATGAGTTCATCTGTTCCTGTGCAGCCAGGTTTATTAGTCATTCGACCTGTGTCGCATCTGAACGGGTTCAGGAAGAGGGTATTATTATGAGATCTCATCGCTTTTGTTACTACCCTCTTTCGCTTAGAAAAAAATTGTACACAAGTATAATTGTCCAGCAAAAGAGGAAGATGAATTCTCCGAAAACAGCCTCTTCGCCGAACTACTTGCTTTGTTTCTTTCAGCAATGCCTGAATAGGGATTATTCATGACTTCGGCACTAAATCTTAGAATGCTATAAGACAAAAAAGTAAATAAAAAGCAGACGAAAAATAAAAGACATTATGACAAAGATGAAAATAAAGCATAGGTGTATATAATGTCACTGTGATTGACTCTGAATAAAATTGCATTATTCTCTAGTCATAGACTTCTGTGTTCATTAGGATTCCACCGAAGCAACTTACACGTCTTAGATTTATAATCAGCAATTTCATAGATCAGTTTAACCATGTGTGTTATACAGCACCCGTTGGGTCGACAAGACACAACTTTAGGAGATTTTGACCTAGCGATGATTTGTGTCTAATGTCAAACAAACTCAAGGATCTACAGGCGAAAACCAATAAGCAGATAGGACTGGCTGGCAGTGAAGACAGGACCTCGAGTGATTGTACAGAAGGTACATAACCAGCAACAACAACAACAACCAGCAGTCACCATCAATGGAAGGAATGTAAACGAATTTGCCTCCTTCACTTATCTAGGCGATATTATTGCAGTCACAGGCGGAATACACGAAGATATCAAAGCCAGGTTGGTTGTGGAAGATAAGACAGACCTTCATTTCTCTGAGAGCAATATGGAAGTCTGCTGTTATCAGCATAAAGAACAAGATTCGGATTTTCAACACTAATGTCAAATCAGTTCTTCTCTATGGGCCACGTAGAAAGGTGTAGACTTCCAGGCTGGGGTCCTCGGGACGGTAAAAATCTATGGTTGGAAACAATTGGTGACATGGCTCAAAACCGTTCTCAGTGGCGCAGATGCATCCACTCCCTGTGACTTATGATCTTCAATGAAACTGTTTTGTATTTCTTTATTACTCCTTTGTCTCACACCTCTGCTCACTGTTTCTATTATGCTTTTCTTGTACTTTCTTCTCTTGCTTCGCGTGCTACACGGAATGTGGCGACTTGAACTTCCGCACATTCGTGCAAAGTTCTATGTCGAAAACAGACAGACAGACAGACTATGGGCCAGAGACTTAATGTTTCACAAAAAGCATTCCCAACAGGCTATTCCAAACTATTTTCAACAGCTTTTAGTGGTTTGACATTTCCTTCATACGACACAACACTTCTAACATATGTGTCTGTAACGTGGTACTAAATTTACTAATCTCTCTTCTTATGTCTAAATTCTATAGTACTGGAGGCAACTGTATTTATTGTTCCGATCAGTCACTGTCTCAAGGTGATGTGTAATAGGCTGTTCAGTAGTGTCCTAAATATTCTAGATCCTCGGAAAATTCCCTTTGGGAAGGGTATTTTGCTTTATAACAGTACAGAATTTTCATGACTGATCACGCACTGACTTCAGTAAGAAAACCACTGCAAACCAGTAACGGTAATCTTTGGCAGTACACCCAGTAGACACCCACGACCTTTAGGTTAGAAGGTGAGTTCGTTGAGCATTAAGCCCCTGGGATAAGATTTAATGTCTCAGCAGTTCTAGCTTGTGCCGGTTCATGATATAAAGTTTATAGTTTATTATTTGTCTTGATATCTTCACTTGTACAATTTTAAAAGAATTTACCTTTCTTTCTATAGGCTTTAGATTCATCACTCGCCAGCCTACTTCCAATACTTGGACGAATAGATCGATTATGCAGTAAATACCTATCAACAGCTTTTGATGAACCATCTTCATCTGGTTCGAAATCAGGTAGTCGTTGGTCAGATGTTAGTACATCTATTGACAATGATTTAATTCCCATGTCATTGCAAAATCGATTGTGTACACGTAAATTTATCGAGCTTTTAACTGGTGGACTGTCTGCATTCTGTGCACTTCGTCAACGGAATCGAAGACCACTTTTAAGTCAGTTATTCGAGTTAATAGCTAGACATAACAAGTATAATAGCCCAAATGATATACTTTTGGATTTGATGTTTCCCTCACAACTAAGTTATCTTCTTCCCTCGAGAATATCATTGGATCAAAGGTAGTGTACTTTTTCGATGAAAGTTTGGGATTCTCATTATCATTTTGCTACTGTATTATGATATTGTTAACGTCATTGAAGTGTATAGTTGGTGATTATATATCTATCCTTATTGTGAGGTCTGTAACCCGTCTGTATTTATTAGATGACACCTATCTGTTAGAATTTATAGTTAAATTGACTAGGTATTCTCTTGTCATTGAACTCAATCATGGTGTTCGTAGTAAAAAGAATAAAACTGGTATGAACTAACCTTATGTTTATGGGAACACAAGAAACAGTGAACATTGCTCCCATAAACAACCTAATGCGGATGAGCCTGGGCAGAATTCAGCTTCTTCTCGAAATGCTTTCATATGACCACATATTCATAGCCTCTGTTAAGTAAGTTTTGTTCAATGCCTTCACGCGGCTGGAGTGTTCTTCACCAAAGTGAAAGGTCGAGTTTAAAGTCTAGCCCTTATAACCGGTTTACCTACAGGAGCTAGGAAACCCCGACTCTAAAGCTATAGTGTACATGGGCTCCAGAATCCGAAGAGATCGAATGGCGTATGAACTTGTTTTAATCACTGAAATCCATGGAAAAGTGGCTCCTGATGATGCACCACCGCCTTGTGGGTCTGAATTCAAGTGAAAGACTGGGAATTCGGAAAATCAAGACAATCACATGCTTCGGGCTTGGAATCCGAACAGGATATTCTAGTCTGTGAGATTTGTGTGGTGTATCACTTGGTGCCCTTAAAGTGCAAAGTTTGTATTTCATTAATAAAAACTATAACAATATTAACAATAATAACGATAATACTAATAACGATATTAATAATAATAATGGTAATATTAATAATAATAACAATAATAGTAAAAATAATAATGATAATAACAACGATAATAATGATAGTAATAATAGCAATCATAGTAATAGAAATTAAAATAGTAATAATAATAAGTAATAATAATCATGACAATAATAGTAATAATAATAATAGTAATAATGATAATAATAATTGTAAAAGTAATAACCATGATGATGACAATAATAACAATCAAAACAAAAGTAATAATGATGATAATAATAACAATATAATCATGATAATATTAATAATTATAATAGTAATAATAACCATGATAATAATAATGACAATAATAGTGATAATGATAATATGAATAATAATAGTAATAATGATAACCATAATAATAAAGATAATACTAACAATAATGAGAATGATAATAATAACAATAATAATATTAATAACAATAATAGTAATAATGACAATAATAGCCATAATGATAATAATAAAAGTAATAATAATGTTAATAATAACAATAATGATGATAATGATAAAAGTAATGATAATCATAACAATGATAATCATGACAATAATAATAGCGATAATATTGATAGTGATAATAATAATAGTAATAATGACAATGATAGTAATCATAAAACTAGTGATAATAATGATAATAATAATGAGAATGATAACAAGGATAATAATAACAAAATAATGATAATAATAAAAATGATAATCATAATAATAACTATAATATTAATAATAATAGTGATAATAGTAATGATAATATTAATAATGGCAATAATAACGATCATAATAATAATAGTATAATAATCATGATAATAATAATAATAATGATAACATTAATAATAATAGTAGTAAGAACAACAATAACAATATTCATAATAATGATAATAATAATGGTAATAATAATGGACAATAAGCAAATGATAAGCCGTGTATTAATCCCATTATTTGCAAATAATATCAACCATTCTGCTGTAGAGATGTTTTGGTTTACTCTTCATTCTCTGTCGCTTATTCGGTCGTCCTTAAAACTGGAATCCCGTTCCTTCCTCTCACCCTCTCAAGCGGTTTTTTCATTGACTCTTACGTTGGCGTACACATTGTCGTCATTGCTTCTTTGAAGATGTATAAACATTTATAATTACTACGGAACACAATGGCATTTTATTGTCAGCTTTTTCAATGCAATTGAACTGTATTTTCTGACTGAAACAAGAATCTTGACAATTGAGGAATTCGATTATTGACTAGCACTAATACCTTACCATCTCTCTTGCGTTAGCTTAACAGCCAAAGGTGGAGAGTGGGGGGGGGAGGCTAGCATATTGCATAGCACTTAGTTCTGTTATATTATCGGGTCGTATCAGATGCATATTGAAATGTGTAGTGATCAATTTTTTAGTGTGATGAGATCACTGTGGGGAGAGGGGGAGGGTAGGAATGTAAAATAGAAATGTAAACTGTTTAAATGAGACCGTGAACTTACCGCCTACTAAAGCAATATCAGCTTGTATTATAAGTGTTGAGACATTTAGATCATGCTCACGGTCTAAAAGATGATTGACCTTGCTGTTATTATGTCCTGGTAATCATGATTTTATGGATTTCGAATACATCACTGTCCATATATCACTTATCCCTCCTTAGCACACATGTAGAAGATTTATTTCAGTGAGGCATTTGATAAAAGTTGAACTCATTGATAGATAATCCTTTCAGTGAGCTAGACAAGTCATGATTCGTTTTTCCTTCAGAAATAAATGAAGTTTTGTTGGAGTAAATTTTAAGCAGAAACTCCGTTTAATTATGTTAGGCATCCCAGTTAGGAATCATATAAATGAAGGCGCATTCAACGAAAATTTACGCTTTTGGAGTGGTGTCATTTTCAACCTGTACAATAACACATATGTTTATAAAACACTTTCATTGTAACAAAAAGAATGTTTCTAAAGATGTGTCATTCAAATTTCGAGTTTCGGATAACAAGAAATTGTAAATTACGCAATACTTAAACGTTAATCACGTAGAGACTAAAGCAGAATTAAGTAAAACTGACTGGCGTAACTATGCGTCGGTGGCACAGTGATAAAACGCCCTCTGGCCACGCATGTGGTCCTGGGTTTGATCCCCAGGCGCCGCACTCCTTTTACCTCGCTAGGCCAGTAATAAAGCTGACAAAGAGGGAAGGTTGGGCATGAGGCTAGCAACCCCATCCTGTAAACATGAACACCACTGCTACAGACACTTCAAGCCTGGAGCTTGAAGCCCTATGTTCCACTGGGAACGCAAAAGGAATATCAAAAAGACTGACGTAACTTAATTGACAAGACTGAGTATTGATGTAAAGTAAAATTGAAAGAAGGGAAGTTGAATCAAGATCGGTGTCATAAGGAGTAGAAGTGCCAGAGTGAGAGGGAAAAAAATAAAATTATAAAAAGTTACTAGCCAAATGTTGGTGAAATGCCTGATTCAGACAAGTTATCGAAAGGTTCTATTAGTTTGACAGTAGAATTTGATAGAGTATTATTTCATATAAGTTTATTTGATGTATCACACAGTGATACAGTATTGACAATTGGATGACATTCGGAGCCGACTGACTGAGTTTGAACTTAGAACTCAGGAGAGAAGTGCAGCAGTTCAAATTGCTACACTCCATGTAGCAAATATAGGTAGGTAAGGGGATTCACAAGAGCTACAATAAAAAAAAATTAAGGGAGAAAAAATAGTCAGTGAAGAGACTTTTCAATGAATTTATTATTAAGCTGTACAATCGTATATATATATATATATATATATATACCTGTACCCAGACTGCACGGAATAATTTCACAAGAGAAAATATCATCAAGTATAAATGTACTCAAGTGTTACTAATATATTTAATTGGTGGATGGTGACTCGCAGTAGAATCCAGGATAACGCGCATTTCGTCCTGTTTGGGACTCGTCACTGGATGTACCTGCATTTCTCAGTAAGTGATGATGTTCCCACCGAGGCTCGAAACCAGTGCCCATAGTTTCAAACGCCAAAGCGTTATCCACTAGAAGACTTGGGCCACGAGAGCCACCTCTTGTGCAACGGGTCATATTAATTTTATTGAATTTGAGATTTAAATACTAACTAAATGCCCAGACATCGTCGAAGCATCTGCACAAGAAGCCGATATGTCAACCTGAGACCGAGCACTTCGGTCCAATCAATCGACGGGAAAATCAAAAATTCAATTCAATAATTAATATTTGACCCGTTGCACAAGAGGTGGCTCTCGTGGCCCAAGTGGTCTAGTGGATAACGCTTTGGCGTTTGAAACTATGGGTACTGGGTTCGAGCCTCGGTGGGAACATCATCACTCACTGAGAAATGCAGGTACATCCAGTGACGAGTCCCAAACAGGACGAAATGCGCATTATCCTAGATTCTACTGCGAGTCACCATCCACCAATTAAATACTGGCTAAATGCCCAGACATCGTCGAAGCATCTGCACAAGAAGCCGACATGTCAACCTGAGACCGAGCACTTCGGTCCAATCAATCGACGGGAAAATCTCAAATTCAATTAGATGTTACTAATATAATTATATTATATATCTGAATCGCATATACTTAAATTCATTGTATCGTCTATTTTTTAAAATTATTATTATCAAAACACAGGAAATTACCATTATCCTTAGTGAATGCCTCTTCATGTCATGGTTTGCTACCACCGTTGTTCTTAGCTTCTTTAATTCATCAACTGAATTATTTACGACAAAGTGTAGCCAAGTTAGCCGCCCAATCAATTATTCAACAGACAATCAACAATTCATCACGTACAAACACTCGACAAAAAGAAAGTATTACAAAACTATCCTCCTATGGAATGATAATTAATGAAGAAGTCAGTAGTTTAATTGGTCATCAATTGGAGTTGTGTTCTTCTTGTCTACCGAGCATTCTTGATTTATTCACATTAAGTTTAGAATTGGAACGATGGACAAGTTTAATTGCTGGCGTTTCCTGTGAATATGGTCAAGGTAGATAGATTTTTAGGAAAAATACTGTATTCTCCATTGGTTTTCGTTGTTGTTGTTATATTCAATAAATTTGTGACTAACGTTTGTGTAGTGGATTCAGAACTAAGTTGGGAAACATAAAATTTTGACTTTTTGGTTCTTGCGACTTTTAGTAAGCAGCAGACCACAGAACCCCAGCCTATTCACAGTGGTTTGGTTGAATCACTAGGCGCCCTGTATTTCCAACCTCCACAATATACAAAAGTCCCTCTATTTCTGTGTTTTGTCCGTGGGTCACCAAAGGTACTCAATCGTATTTTCAATTGGCGGAAACTCTAAACATTAGTTAACCTAAACGAAAGGCCGAAGTAAACGGATATAATGACATTATGTTCAAATATCGGTTTGTAGGGATTCGATTGATTAGTTCCTGGATTTCATCATGAGCTGACATCGGTTAGAGAACCATTGGAAGTGTGTTGCCTGTGAATTTGGAAAATTCCGAAATTTAACCGAAATTCACTATATTACTGGTTACTTCAGTAATATTTCAGAGGATTATAGCTTTTTACAGGAGTGCCTCGGTGGTTCAGTGGTGAGAGGCTTGTCAACCACGCCTTCGGTCTGCAGTTCGATCATGGCCACGCACTACTAAACCTGGCTAGGTCGGTTCCAAGCCTGGCAAAAAGGGGAGATCGGGTGTGAGGTTAGCGACCCACCCGGTGACACCACTGGTATTGAAACCGCAAGGCTGAAGCTTGAGGCCCTATGTTCCATCCGGAAGTCAAAGGTATAAAAAGCAGGGGATATTTCATCCAACACTTCAAAGTGTAAATATTCACTCAAATTGCTCACCTATCACCCAATACATCACAAATTGACATTGATCGAATGAAACCATGTATTAATTCTAACTCATTTTCTGAATGACAATTTGCTAGGGGACCTGATGGTTCTAGGCCTTTAGCAAGCAACGCTGATGACTGCTAAAATATGATCTCTAGCGACTGTATTTTACTGTCCTGTTTCTAGTGGTTTCCCTGTTGATGTTATTCTATGAACTGAAGAAAGCTACTGGGAAGCACTTTTCTTGATCACTTAATTTAACTTTATTGTGTTGATTTAATCGTTGAAATTTTCCATTTGAGTTATGTTAAAGTGCGCTTATATAATCACTTAAATGTCTAACTTTATTTTGATACATTTTGGTTGCATCTCTTTTATTTTTGAAGCAGAAAGGACATCTGTTACTGACCAACGGGTTCGCAATGCATTCGAAAAAGTTGTACATTCCAGTCCATTCATTACTCCTCTTCTATCCGCTGAAGGAAATCTAATTCATGTAGCACTAAGTGCAAGTACACCATCATTTTGGTCTGCACATTTACGCTTAGTTATATGGAGAGCTTATATGGCATTTGGTTGGATGGCTGGACCATCTACAACATCTACGACAGTGATAGCAAACAATTTGGATCCTCGTCAACGACGTCAAGCTGTGAAAGCTGTTTTCTATCGTGCTATTGAAGATGTTCCATGGGCTAAAGTAAGTAATTGAGATTTGATTGATTTTTGCCTTCTGTCTCGGTGTTTAAAGTCTCCTAATCATAAGATTGAAAGAGTATGGTAGCTATGAAGTTGTTTGACCAGTAGCAATTTGTAATATGTTGTTTTCTCGTTTGTTATATACATTCAGCGAACTTCTTATCGCGTCTCTTCATGATGCCCTTGTGGAGCTCATTAAACAAAATAATTTGGTTCATCTATTACACTGCAGTGATTGTGAGGTCGAATACGCAGATCAAAGTAATTGGGTGGGGTCGATTAAACTACCGCAATACAAAAATCTAGCGAAATGTTGATTAATCGACCCTAATAAAGTAAGGAATTCATAAAAAAAACTCGGCTTATAACACTACACGCAGTTATATATAACTATGTATGTATCAACTGTGTTCGCCCTATCCTCCTTTATGGCTGAGAGACATGGCCATTGAAAGTGGAAGACATCAAAAGGCTATCTGTGTTTATTTGCATTCTAACTCCCGTGTCAGTTGGTATTATAGAGCCAGTAATATTGAGATTAGGCGTCGAGTGTTAAGTAAGGGGAGGAAAGCCAGTCGACGAGATTATTTAGCTAGAACAAGTGTTACACATGACTAGTCATCGCCTTCCTCGACGGTCTGTGTTAGGTGACCTAGGATCAGGTTGGTGAAGAGTTGGTGGTAATTAAACCAAAACATGGCATCAGTCCATGAAATGTTTGACAGTCAGTTTAAACCACGCAGGGAAGTGTAGACTTCCTGATTGGTGTCCTTGGGATAATGTGAACTAATGAAGGCTGGGGGATAATTGGTGATATGGTTCAAAATCGTTGCTAATGGCACAGATGCATTCACTCCTTTTGCTTTATCATATCCAATAAAATCCTATTGTTCTTCCTTATTACTTTTCTTTTCGCCCTACACTTCTGTTTATTATCTCTCTTTACCCTCTTCTGTTGCTTTGTGTGCTACATGGAGTGTGACAGCTCGAACTACTTCACATCTGTGCAAAGTTCTATGTTGAAGCCAGTCAGTCAAACATGCAACTGTACAATAGGATAGAAGAAAGTCACAGTATTAAAACCTAATTGAGCATTTTAGAGAAAGAGAGTGATAACTTCAGCCTTATTTTATGGAGTCATGTGAAAGCATAGGTACATTATGAATGGAAGAAAGGCAGCTGTAAAAATAAGGTTTCGAAATTGTGTAGTTACAATGGATATGATCATAAACAATAATAAATTTTGTTCGAGACGTCATCATCCAGTAAATAATACTGTTCCACTGTGTGTAATAGATCTGTAGGGATCCTAATTAATCTAAGTATAAAACTTGGGCACTGTTGTAGAGTATAATTCCATTATAGATAAGATTTTATTTTGATAAATCGCACAGTGTTGTACAGTTATATGAACTGATGACGTTTCGAGCACAAACTATTGCTCATAATCATATCAAGTATCCTAATTAATCTTTACAAATGGCATTTAGAACATATATTGGTGATTTATTTCATGATTACAATAATTTAGATCGAGTATTATATGAATGAGCAGGTGTTGCCAGTAATCTTTATTCCGGTGGGATTTAAAAATTCAGCTAAATGATTTTTAAGCTGAACATTGAAACTGTTTGATCAAATTGAGATTATTATTATTATTATAACTAACAAGTGCCATAGAGTTGTTAATATTTCATTCAAACAATTGCTAGCAGGAATCGATAATGATACTTCTCTTTTTGATTTAAAGTCACACAGTTATGTTGAATATAGTGTAGGTGATCTGATATACTATAAAACAGGTAGAGAAATACATTATTAGTGAGTAGAAAGTTGCTTACCAGTTGTTCGTTCACAATGACTAACACCTTTAAGTACCACATAATGGGGGTAACATTTACACCTGGTCATTAACTTAGTTTTATGATCTACCTAGTAAGGATTCGAACAGTTACTCTGAAAACTACTGGCCGGAACCCTCCTGTTGTTCAGGTTTTCTTTCTTTTATGATCATCATCCTCGAGAAGTGCCAGCTATTATAGATAATCACTGTTGAACTAGTAATCAATGGGTATAACAATAATTTGAATAAAGATATTTCCGACCGATATTTTATGGATTGTTGACTTGCAAAACTACCTTGTGAGTGCGTCGGTGCTTCAGCGGTAGAATGCCCATCGACAACTCATGTGGTCGAGATTCGAATCTCGACTGACACACTCTTAAACCTCACTTAGCCTTGTAGACATGAAAGGTTTGGTGTGATGCTAGCAACCCCATCCTGTAAGAAAAACATCACAGCCACTTAAACTTCAAAGCTCAAGCTTGAAGCCGTACGCGCCTCACTAGGAATGCAAAGGGATTGACAAAAGAACTAACCTGTAATAAAGCAGCACAGAAGATGATACCTAGGATAATATCGACAAATTTTGTCGGGAAAAATCCGAACTTGAAAAGTAATGCAACTACCAGGACATTTACAACTTAAGCAATCAATATTTATCACTATTACATATTCTTCATCTTCGGTGTTTTACATTTTGTAATTTTTGTCCACTTGGGCACTAGTAATAAGTTTACGAAATTCTAATGGATGGTAGGTATATCATAAGCTATTTAAGATTAACTGTGGAATAAATAACTGCCAATTTGAATATTGCCTACTGATAGGTGATCACCTATTTTATCATTATTACTATTCCTTTGGGTTCTGAGTGGAACATAGGGCTTCAACAACACATCTCCACTTTGTTCTATTTTCTGCCATCCTCTTCAACTGGGTCCACAATTGCCCAAACTCTCATCCCTTCCTCACACGACCTCCTCTATGTCACTCTAGGACGACCGAATCGTCGCTTTCCATTGGGATTCCGATCTACCGATGGCCTCCTCAGTGTGTGCCCGATCCGTCTCTATTTTGTTGTTAATTTTTTTTTGACCAACCATTTGATCTTCACAGTATGGAGCTAGCCAAGGCAGCTGTTGATAGAAGTCTGTAACTTGTTGGAAATCCTTTCCATGACACACAGTGCAACTTTCTGACCCGTATAAAAGAACTGACTGAAAACACATTTCTGGTGAAAATCCGAATCTTTTTCTTTATGCTGGCTGAGTGCAGGAGATTTCCAAACTCTGGTTTCAGGTCTACTAGCTCGCTAGTTTTCTTTATCCGGTCCCAAGCCCGGGTGAAGAGGAAGGATTGGGTTTTGGACTAGCGAACCAATCGAACTGCTACAGAAACTTCGACAACCAATAAAAATATTAAAAATACAAGAAATATTTTTAAAAAAAACTTATTCTTCGCTGGAATTGGAAAGACAAATGACGCAGGCTGGTAAAAGCCTTCGGGAAGCCAGTCAACCAGCCGAATTTATTTATATTTATTTAAATGCATAAAATCTTGATACATTATGGCACCAAGAAGGATGCGCCACACAATAATAATAAAGCAACATAGATCAAAAGAAAAAATATATATAAGTAGAGAACGGATAAAGAACTTCATCTGGAAGGAAGACAGTCATGCTTAACAAGTTCAAACAGTGTTCGTTAGCTTTCATCGGGAAAGGAAGAAAGAAGGAAATAGCAACACGTGTAATAGCACGCGATAAGTCTCATTGATTGTTTGTTGCTTCATTCAATTGATTGTGTGAGGGCTGAGATACTGCCCGGGCGCCCAGACCGAAGCAGATGGTATTACTAAGGGACCACCCGCCGAGCCATTGACTTGGAGTCTAATCCGCAAGACAGAGGAGCAGCGTCAGGAGCTGCATTCCCATGGTTTCCGGTGACCCATATGGGTTCATACGCCATTTGATTCGATTGCATACTAGAGCCCATGTACCCCATGGTAACTGCTTTTAGTTTAACCGCTATCCAAACAACCTTCCTGACGTTGTAGGACCTGCAGGGACAGAGTCCCAGTCAGTTTAGCATGTTGGATCATTACGGTATTCAAGCCTGACCACCACGACAAGGTAGTTTTCGGCCGGACTGAAAGCAGGAATAAGAATCGGGACGTGGAATGTCCGTACAATGTACGAGGCTACACCCAGGTAGCCAAAGAAATGGGGAGATATGGCGCAGAAGTGCTGTGAATTTGTGAGGGCAGATGGAATGGATCTATGGTTTTTCAGCTGGTTAATTTTGTTAGAATTTCGATACATCGCAGTATTTCATAATCAGTCATCAACTAACCATTGTAGCAATTTCACTGTTTCAATAACTAACAGTGCCAGTTAACTTTATATGATATTTACACCCGTCATTCCGGCATATGTGTACCCTTACAGTCGATCAGAGATATTAGAGGGAGAATTTCTTATTGTCGAAATGATGTTGAAAAACGATGGTTACCCTCAGAAACTCATTAACTAGTACTGAAGATATGAAGGTTTAAATACCGAATAAATAACAGCGGAAAAGAAGTCTATCTTATTTCAACTCTGTTGTAAAGATGGTAATATTACAGTAACAGTCAACAGAAGATTGGATACTTCATTCGCCAAAACATATCCTGCATCTAGGTTGGTTTCTGTTTATCGGACAACATGCTCTTTGGTGTGATCAAAGGTCGACAGATACTCTTATTTTAACGTTATGTACACATTTATATTTGTCTGTGGTAGCAGTTACATTGGTGAGACACAAAGAATGACCCACTATCGATTTCATGAACATGCACCAAAAAGTTTACGTCTCAAACGCTTTCAATAGTACGATTATCAGGTATCTCATCGATACTGGCCATAAGGTGAACACGCCATGATATCCTTTTAAATTATCAACAGAAAATAGAGTTCAGTAATCCTCAAGTTTCCCAAAACAATCCCTATCAAACGCCTATTCAGAGAAAAGCAGTTATATAAATCTTTCCTTGAATCGATATCTTTACTCTCTCTCTCTCTCTCTCATTTGATAGCGTAATCTTTGTCTTGAACCTACTTTTTACCTTTGAGATAGTGTGACTTTGTTTCTCTATTGTTTTTATGTTCTGAGTTGTATTCACCACGTTCCTACTCAACTTATTAGTTAGTTACTCATTATTGTATTCACCTGTTGTCTTTATTACTCAACTGCTTTGCCATCGTATCCAAGCCTTTATTTTTTTCTATTTTAACTTTAACTTTTTGGTATTTTTTTTGATTACAGCTTGATTTCACACTGTATTTTTAGTACAAGTATGGAATTTTCAGCATGGATATCAGTAGCCCAAATTTCGCAGGCCGACCATAGATATCAGGTGTGCGTCGGCAGGAGATTGAACCTCGGACCATATGCATGGTCGGCGAGAGTCCTAACCATTGTGCCACCGACGCACATAAGTGTAATTTCTGAGCACTTTTTGTTAAGTTTAGAGTCTCCTGTCAATTGACATGTCACATTTGCATGCCTGTTAAAGCTGTTCTATACACATACCTAATTAATTTTCTTAGGCTCTACGCAACTGATGAGAAACTGACAAAATAAACAATTGTACAATCTTATTCTGCACAAACTGTTGTTTTGGTTTTATTCATATTCATAAAGGGGATTAAGTGTATGAAGTCTCCAATATTCAGTCTGTTATTGTTAACATATTTTCACACTAATATATTAGTTTGTCTGATATGTCATCCAACGACAAAGTACTTTTATTTGAATACAGCATAGAGTCGTAGTTCATTGTCATCGGAATATTACACCCCACGTCGGGCGTCCTCGTGTGTGGTGGAAGTCAGTGTCTGCTCATCGCGCACTTCTGAACGCAACTCACACACACTTATCGTCACTGTGACCACACACTTCCACAGACACCCTCACAAATCAACACAAAACACACCGACCATTACATTCACACTCACTCACATGCAATTTTGACTGACTGTGCTACTATTTCAGATAAGTCGTTTCGAAATGACTTCATATTCTTGCAGTAGTTTGTATGACTGTAAACCTTATAGTAAAGTTTTTGATGCGATTGGGACCTCTGAACTGGATGGTTTATGATTTGCCAAGCTTTCATTGCCCTACTAGGCAACATCTTCAGTGCATACTTCTATTTGAAGTTAGCTTATAGGCTATCTCCCCTGGTTACCATGATCATCGCGATTGTTTGCTCTTGTCTGTTTTCACAACCTAGAGTCTATTTGCATCGGTAGTGATTGTTTCGTTGACCTGAAGTTTAACACGCTTTGTGTATGAGATTTCCTTCTTATCGATTGGTAAATTTTGTCTATTAATTGACGATTCGCAGTAAATCGTTGCAATGAAAGTTTCACAAATAAACCAGTCAACTCACAGATGAAAAATACATCAAAATCATCCACTTGAGCTACAAATCTTCACAATTACAGTAAAGTTTCATTCATTCTTATCTTGCCCTTAATTATTAACATACAGTTGCATTATTCTGTACTACCCTGATTGAGTGTGTTATTATTACGTCTTGTTTATTTGCTATTCTTTTTCTTCTTTAGGTTCTCTATACAGATTTAGTTCGTTATTGTCCAGAAGATGTTGAAGAGGTAGTCGATTTACTGTCGGAACGTGAATTACGATTACGAACACCATTAGAAGAAGTCGATTTACTATTGACAGCTAAACCTCATGAATGAAATAATTTTATCTTCATCTTGTAAATTATTCAACTAAAAACAAATTATATTTGTTAAGTTTATTTTTTATCATTAGTTTATTTGTACCAAGAAATGAATGAATGAATAAACGTATTTAAATGATTCTTTGACTAAGTTAACATTATTAAAGGTTTCGTAATATTTTTGTTCAAATAGGGATTAATTGAACACGCATCTAAGATTGTTGGAAACATGCATCCTGAGGAATCTTGGCATAATATCCAGTCAATTGTAGAGACAGTGGTAAAGGCTGTTGATAACATGACACCAAATGTTAGATACTGCCAGCAGATGTCTGTTGCTTCGTCCGATTTAACAAATGCAAGACTGGTTCCGGTTGGCTCCGAACATGACAAAGAACTAAAGTTGCACAAATGCAAGCTGACTAAAAGCCTCCGCAACAATCGTGAACAGTGGTAGGCGACAAAAGCCAAAGAGGTGGGGACAGGCCACAATCAGACAACTATTCTGACTCATTAGAGGAAGGGGTTATAGATGACCTGTGATAAGCAGAACAGTTTCCGAGAAGAACGGTGCTTTAACTACCTATCAGGATAAACGAATGGAACGTTGAATGACACAGTTTAGGGGCAATCCAGTTGGCCTATACTCCACGTTAAATTTCCCAGCGCTCGGCACCTACATGTGTGTGATGTAGACATCGGTAGTCTTACTGTAACTGAGGTCTCTAATCTGAAACGAGGCGAAGCAGCAGAATCTAACGAAGTAACTTCAGAATTACTTAAGAATGCCGGTGATGAAACGCTGTCTGAGCTAAGATATTAAGTACTGTAAGAGGATCCCAAATAGTTCCCTTGGACTGGTGTACATCATCAATTATCCCAGGTTATAAGAAGAGAGAGAAGTCTTCCTGCCATAACCATGTAGGGGCTAGCTAGAGTAACGTAATATATAAAATTCTAAGTTCCGTAATCACATAACAGACTGAGCGATGCTCAGAAGAAACAAACCCCTTTTTAGCAAGCTGACTCTAGACTGGCTTCCTTCGATAGATTCAAGAACCTCGGCATAATCACCGACGCCCAACAATTGCCATACTTCTTAACCTCAAGTCGTATTTGATAGGATCCCACACATTTTGGTATTGACTGTTAATCTTGCATATATGGTATATTATCATTCTCACACATTTTGGTATTGACTGTTAATCTTGCATATATGGTATATTATCATTCTCACACATTTTGGTATTGACTGTTAATCTTGCATATATGGTATATTATCATTCTCACACATTTTGGTATTGACTGTTAATCTTGCATATATGGTATATCATTATTCCCACACATTTTGTTGTTGACTGTCAATCTCGCACATATGGTATATTATCATCTCTCACGCACTTTGTTATTGGCTATTAAGATCAATTATTTCAAATGCTGTTAGCTGTCCATATTGTTGTAAAATGTATAAATACCATGGCTTTCTTTATCGTTGTTGCACTTCAATACACAGTCACAGTCCAGCCTTTGTCTTTTGATATTTGCGTGCTTTACTAAATCGGAAGGTACGACAAGCAGATAGGCAGATTAGTTCAGGCGCAGACAGAGCAAGGTGAAAACGTCTTCATTCAATTCCCTACAGTTATAACAAATTGGCGACGGGGTTTACCTTAATTCATCAGTTATAACAAATTGGCGACGGGGTTTTACCTTAATTCATTGCAGTTATAGCAAGCAAACGACGACAGTTTTTATTCTGTTCAGCGCAGCTATATAACATTTTTGACTGTGTTAATTACAACCCAATTACAATGTCTATCTCTCTGGACGATCTCAAATCTATCTTGCAGCAGCAGCAAGTTCAGAATGAAGCAGCTCAACTAAAATTAATCGAAGCTCTCACTCAGAAGCTGTCCATTCAAGTTCCATCAACATCTCATTCTGACAAATATGAAAGCATCTCAAATTCCATCAGTGAGTTCAACTACGACCCAATATCTGGTCTCGTATTTGATGCATGGTTCAATCGTTACGAAGACGTTTTCCGTATTGAATGCTACATGTTTGATGATGCTGCCAAAGTCCGATTGTTACTAAGAAAACTTGGTACTGTTGAGCACAACAGATATGTTAACTTCATTCTGCCCAAGAACCCACGTGAGTTATCATTCGATGAGACAGTCACCGTTTTATCACAAATCTTTGGTGAACAGTCATCCATGTTTAATATTCGGTATCAATGTTTTCAGTTGACAAAAATGCCTTCCGATGATTATGTGACTTACGCTGGCAAAGTGAACAAGGAATGTGAAAGGTTCAAACCACACGAAATGACATCAGATCAGTTCAAGTGTTTGATTTTTATTTGTGGGTTGAAGAACCCAGAAGATACTGACATACGAACTCGACTTCTGTCACTCGTGGAACAAGACCCGAAAATGACTTTACAAATGGTGACAGCAGAATGCCTACGTTTAATCAACTTGAAGCACGATACTGCTATGGTGGAGTGCAAACGACAGTCGTCTGAATTTGGTTCGATTAACACAGTGAAAAGTCCTCCGATCACCGTTAAGCACACAGAACGTCAGTCTCAAAATTCAGCTAAACCTCCTTCAGTGTGCTGGCACTGTGGTTCGTGGCATTTTGTCAAGTTCTGTCCTTTCAAGAAGCATAAATGCCGTAATTGTCACCGTTTTGGACATAAGGAGGGTTACTGTACACCGCAGAAAAATCCTTCGGTGAGGAACAGAAGTAGTCGTTTCAAGCCGAAACAATCTCCTCGAGTACAGACCGTTTATACAACTTCCAAAGTCGAGTTCGCCAGCAAACGTAAGTACATAACACTAGATATTAACGGCAAACGTATTCGTCTTCAGTTGGATACGGCATCAGATATCACCGTAATTTCCCGAACTACGTGGCGCAAACTTGGTTGCCCACAGATTCTGCCGACCGAGCATGTCGCCAAGAATGTCTCTGGAGATATACTGAAACTCGTGGGTGAGATAAATTGCCAGGTTCAGTTTGGTGAGCATCACTTCAATGGTGTATGTTACGTTACAAACTACCATGATTTGAATTTGCTTGGTCTTGACTGGTTAGACAAGCTCCATATCTTTAATGTACCATTAAATTCAGTATGCTCTAATGTTTCGTCTTCACCACACAACGTTGTTCCCGGAGATGTATCTGATCAATCTCTCTTGCAACGCCGTCGTCAAAAGCACGCTTCTGTCTTCCAGGACAAACTTGGTTGCTGCAAACTGTTTGGCATCCAGCATATTCGTAGCCCCCCGTATCATCCCCAATCGAATGGACAGACTGAACGTTTCGTCGACACCTTTAAGCGTGCTTATGCAAAAGCGAAGGGGGAGGGAACAACAGAAGAAATTTTGGATAAATTCTTGCTGCATTATCGTACGAATGAAAAAGGACAGTTATGTGTCAGACACACAGATCACGCTCTATCCAGTACCACGCAAAGGTCAACTCGACAAAGAAGAGCTCCGAAACCTTTTCAAATAGATCCAAAAAGCAAGTCCTACACTCTTTACGGGGAGAGGTGATAGGATCCCACATATTTTGGTATTGACTGTTAATCTTGCATATATGGTATATTATCATTCTCACACATTTTGGTATTGACTGTTAATCTTGTATATATGGTATATATCATTCCCACACATTTTGTTATTGACTGTCAATCTCGCACATATGGTATATTATCATCTCTCACGCACTTTGTTATTGGCTATTAAGATCAATTATTTCAAATGCTGTTAGCTGTCCATATTGTTGTAAAATGTATAAATACCATGGCTTTCTTTGTCGTTGTTGCACTTCAATACACAGTCACAGTCCAGCCTTTGTCTTTTGATATTTGCGTGCTTTACTAAATCGGAAGGTACGACAAGCAGATAGGCAGATTAGTTCAGGCGCAGACAGAGCAAGGTGAAAACGTCTTCCTTGAATTCCCTACAGTTATAACAGTATTTGACTCCATCGACTGAGTGCCCAAGAAAGTATACCGCGCTAATCAGGGCACTTTATTCGAACTCACTCAGCAGTGTTAGAGCTTTTGTAAAGTAGTCATCTAAAGTGATAATAACCAGCGGTGTCTATCAGGCATACTCAATGTCTTCACTTTTGTTTAGTTTCATCATAAAGCTGCTAATGGATGTAACTCATAGAATCTCTGATCGACTTATTACCAGAGTATACGGATGATATTATGCTTCTATGTGAAGACGCCGACAAAATGTAGAGTCTTCTGAACACCTTCAGCAAGAGTCTTGGTGTGTTTGGCATGAAATTTGTCTCTGGACTCCTAGTTTGAAGATTTCGGTGGGTACGGAGTGAGTGTCTAAGCGTTAGAAAGTTGCAGCAGACCTAGTGGGCTGATTGCTAACGAAATCTCATCTCGTGTGCAGACCCAGACGTGATATACAGATATCGATCAAACGATGTGTACAACGCTTCGTTTTTCTTTACAGCTCTGAGGAACTGTTGATGAAAGAGGATAACTGGGTTTGACCATAAGTGTTCACGTTCTAATGCAAAGTTCTACGTTGAGAACTTCCTTAGTTACAGGGAAATTCATCTCTGAGGGTTGCGTTTTATTTGAAAACATCAAATGATAAAAAAGAAATACAAATAGAATGATGCATAAAATGGAGAGAGAACAGAAAAGAGAAGTACATTATCATATTAATATACACAACATTATAAAACTGAAAATGAAACGCGGGTTGTTGTTATTTTTTTTACAATTAAAAATCTAACAGTTCCACCTTTTGTTGGATAGCATTGTAAATCATTGGTTTCGATATAGGAATGAACTGATGTGTAAGCAATTTGATTACTTCTTGTGCTACAACTCCACCCATAAATGCAACTACTGAGTGCAGTTCACCACCACCAAAACGACATAATTCCTATAAAAATTAAACAAAAAGAAGAAAATACGATAAACTTTTTTACTACATATGTTCGTTAAGTACTGAAGTAGGCGTTTTGCATAAATACCATGAAGAATAGCGCTAGTATTTTAGTTTTATTCTACACCAAATAAGACGATTAATAAAGGTGTTCATTATTATTAAAACATAAATTGCATACCAAGAGATACGCCACTCAAAATTTCATAGTTTGTGAGAGGGCTAGATTTCTCTGTCTGAAGGCTATTTTTATTTTATTTGATTCCACTCTGTATTTCTGGTACAAGTATGGAATTTTCAGCATGGATATTAGTAGCCCAAATTTTGCAGACCGACCGTAGATATCAGGTGTGCATCGGCATGGGATCGAACCCCGGACCATTTGCTTGGTCAGCGAGAGTCCTAACCACTGTGCCACCGACGGGCGTTAACCTTGACGGGTGACCCCTCCCAGCCTTTAATTTGAAGTCAGTGAAGCAACGTCAGGGTTTCCCGCGATCAAAACAGGTTCACATATGCCAAATAAAGTATAATTATATTTCAGTGGTTTACACACAATGATAAGTTTTGTTATTGGTATTATTTCAGTAAATTACTGCTCGTGTTCACATCACTGTTGGAATTGTCTTGTTTTTTTAATTTACACATTTATGATTTGTACCAGATATATAGTTCATTTCTGTGTATTCAAATTATATAACAGGTTGTTGACAGTTGTACTGAGTCATCCTTGTTACATGTTTCCGGACTGACCTTAATGAATATAGATTCTGTTATATGTCTCTAGAAATATTACCTATAACAAAACTTATCATTGTGTGTAAACTACTGAAATATAATTATACTTTATTTGATCTATTCCACAATGTTCCCAAGTATTGGTTTTGTACGGATTTTGTTTGATTGTATGGAGGATTTCATCATGAGCTGACATCAGTTCTAGTGGGAAGCCGTGACCAGTAGGGTACAGCAGGTCGAAGATAAGGCAGTAACTCATCGAAGAAGACATTGCGAAGCGGTCGTGAATTGGCAGAAGTTAGAATTCAAGAACCATTGGATCGTGTCCCAGTGGCTTAGTGGTCTACGAGCTCACTAGCGTTGTAACCATAAGGTCCTGGGTTCGAACCGTTGGGGTGGGTACGTACTGATGAATAGTCCCAAACTAGGACGAAACAGCTGTCCAGTACCCCTTGGTGGGTTTTCCGGTGGTTCCCTAACTGTGTCAGCTCATGATTAAATCCTCCATACTATTCCACAATGCTCAAACTTTTTACTGACATTAATTCACATATGCCATTCGATTCTTACGGATTCTAGAGGCCATGTACACCGTTGGCTTGGAATCAGGGTTTTCTAGCTTCCCTAGGTAGACGTCCTCGCCCACCAATTCGGTTACAAGTGCCAAACGTTCACATTCTCCCTTTCATTTTTGTGAGGAACAACCTCAACCGCATGAACGCAGTAAATAGCACTTAAGTGGAAGAGGTTATGAACACGTGGCCACATGAAAGAATTTCGAGAGAAAGACCGAAGTCTACTCGCCACCTTTGACCGTACCAGTTCGCTTATGGAAGGGTGGGCACAGATGATCAATTATCATCGTTATTAGTGTTTAATCAAAAATAGTATTCTCACACATGTGTGGATGTAGACACTAAAAACTAAAAATAGCTGGAGACTGTTGGTAATATGGCTAGAAAAAAACGTTCCCAATAGAGCAGATACATCGATTGTATATGGTTTTGAACGACGAAACCGCTCTTCAATACACTCCTCGATTTTCAGCCATTCTCTAATTCCGGTCAATTAAAATGACTTGACTTGAAATCTCTTAGATCGGATAAACCCTTATTATCTCCTTCATGAACTATTCTTTCTTGTGAACATTTATGTTTATCTTAATTTCATTGCATAGTTTAAACTTCACCTTTGTCTGCACTTTTTTGAAGTGTAGCAACTTGGAGACTACTCCACTTTTTGACAAACAACGATTTTGAAAACTCAATAGATTAATCGAAATAGTGATAAACACACTAAATACTGACAGAATACAGTGATGATGATTATCTATTTTGCTTTACAGGTTGATTTTTAGTTGATTAACAGATTCCCCATGTACATGTCAGTCGAAACTCTCTACTGGAATCCTTTCAACCTGTTCAAAAGGCCATACAATACTATTATATGGAATAACAACACTCAATCATGCTAATTGTTAACTGTTCTGTTATAAATTTATTAACACAAGGGATTCCTTTCCCCTAATTAATTCATAAAGTGTTTTTTTATTTCCATCCCAGGGGGCATTTAACTACCTTAAAGTATCCATGGTGTAGTTCTGACCCGTAACGATACTACCTCATAAAATAATAATGTTAAAAATGAAACTTGCTACCACCGCCTTGTCGTTTCATAACTAGGTAGTAAATTTTTTAATGTGTAAACTAATTCTGTGACTCAAAGTTTAGGTATTACAAGTGAAACTGATCGGCAGTGGTGTAGGTCTATGAATATCTCATATCCATCTGATCCGTCATCCCAAATTCTTTGTTTTATATTACACAGTGGATAGCAATGGGATCTGGAACATATGTTTTGTTTTGACTTCGACTCTCCAGGAGTGTGTTGCAATTCTTACCAAGTATTTAACACGATATCCATCGTATTATTTATTTTATTTTTGATTACAGCTTGATTTCACTCTGTATTTCTGGTACGAGTATGGAATTTTCAGCATGGATATCGGTAGCCTAAGTTTTGCAGGCCGACCATAGATATCAGGTGTGCATCGGCAGGAGATCAAACCCGGACCATGTGCATGGTCGGCGAGAGTCCTAACCACTGTGCCACCTATGGTTGTAGGCAATCGAAAGGAAGCCTGGACCTAGGTTTCGTGCTAGTTGACATTCAACATTCACCAAGGCGAATATATCTGCAACGTTAAAGGAACTCATATCCCTCCTAAGACTCAAATCCATGTCACCCAGTGCTGCAGTCAGTCAGCGACGTTACCAGTGAGCTATTCGGGCCTCAACTGGCCCCATGTAGGACTGTAATAGATACTTTTGATCGTATACTAGTCAGTAACTAGTGTAATGTGTCTTGTCCTCTATTTGGTGCACAGAGAGAAACTACCACTATCCACGAGGCTATTGAGTTATAACAGTCATCTTCAACGGATGTTACTTTACTAAGGGAATATTTTATTCTCCTAAAAGGTATACACATCACCAAATAATATTCTTTTCGTAACTTCACTTCAAAGCTCTACACTTATATAGTGTTGTGAGACTTGAGGGAATCACCACATAAGGTTAAACTGTTCATATCAGCTGGTAAGAAAACATGAAAATACATGTCGATGTAAAGCAATAAATTGTATAATTCATCACACAAAATGTTAAAGGCAATACTTCAATGTTGACAACATTCCTGGGCAGCTAAATACATAGGTCATATTATTAGGATACAGTTTAGACACGCATAAGAACGTCTCCCAATATGGTTTTCGACAAGAGACATAAGACGAAGTAATAGTTCAGTTCATGAGCATCTTGTTCTTACAAATCATACCACAACATTTTCAAATTTTTTTTTTTTTATTCCTTTGCGTTCCTATTGGAGCATAGGGCTTCAAACTGGAGCTTTGAAGTTTTAGTAGTTGTGGGGTGGAGTTGCTAGCCTCATACCCAACCTTCCCTCTCTGCAGGACTTGCTATCGGCTGAACGAGGTT